TTTTTTTTTTATTTCAGAGCAAAGATGAGGACTTTTATAAGTTATGATAAGTAACTGAGTAAATGCTTCTTAAATATAGATGGGATTAATATAATTTGAAAGAGGAAGTGCAAACCGAATTGATGTGGGAGATTGGCAGAAACCAATTGTATTCACTGTTTCAAATGATACTCCCTTCATAATTTTAAGTGAGAAAAACAACGGTGATATATGGACAGCACTCTTCTGACAAACTATCATGGATCTGTAGATGATGTTTTTAAATCTCACTCCTTAACGTGTCAGGCATAACAAACCAGGAGGGTATCTTAATTATAATTTGTCTTGAAGTCGTGCTTCTCTCAGCTCAGAAAAACACAAGCAAGTAAGACTAAATAAAATCCTACCCCGAACTAAAACAATGCCTAAATACTCCAAACGTGAAGCAAGCCTTGAAATGTATGCCTGCAGTGCACCCATTTATGTACTAAATCTGCCCTTACTCTTCGTGGACGACAGTGCCCCACAAACATCCTCGTGTTAACAACATCAATATTCACATTATATTCCTGACACCCCATCAACTACTTCTGGCCCTCGCTTCAAATTCTGACCAACAGGGACCAAGAACTGATGACACAACTCTGCTTTTTCCATGGCCCACGTTTGATCTTCCTAGATTGAATCCACCAGCTTTTCCCCGTGACCTTCCCCACACTGGGGGACTGGCTTACCCACACGTGAGTTTCGTAATTGGAATATCTCTAATGAAAAGGAAATGGAGAAGAGTACCAAGGCATCTGCTACGGCCTCCTCCACGTCAGAGCCTGTGTTCAGGACTCGCATGGCACTGACAGAAGACGACAGTCGGCTCGATTGGCTCATCCCATACCCTGGACCTAATTCATCAGAAGGAGGAAAAGAGCTTTGAGAGAGTCATAAATGTAACAGCGTCACATTGGAAACTTCAAGATCCTTAAGGGGAGGGGAGGGGGAAAAAAAAAAAAAAACCAATGGGGCAAAGCATTTTAAAAGCAGTTCTGTATTTTCTGGGTACATTTGGTCTTTGGTCAAATAAAATGGTAAAGGCAATTAAATTACTGACAGTGTATGGAAAATAAATTTAAAGAACAGTAGCTATGATACATTTATGACCAGAAAATAGAAGAAAGCATGGGTGGCTAACTAAGGGCTTGTGAATCTACAGCCCTGGCAATTATTCCAGCTCTATCAGCCGGGCAGATCTCAGCCATGCAAGTGAGCCATGGAGGAGTCTAGAACACACGTCAAACCTCAAACCAGTGAAGATGAGGGAACTCAGTGAAGCTACACCAGTCTACAGGGAAAACCCGCCAACTGTTGTCTCCTCTCCGTCAGGAGAGGGTTTCGTTCTACAGCTAAGATATGCCATTCGACATCTGTTAAGCACCTAGCGTGTGCCCGACACTCTGAGGTACGTAAAGACAAACCAGAGATGGATTCTCCCCCTCAACTACTTTCTGAGCATCATTTACAATTAAAACACTTCATCCACCATTTTGGTTTTTTTTTTTTCCAAAACATGTACAGAGATGAAGTACATAACTGAGAACAGAAAACAATTCCATGTTCAAAAATGACGTAACTTAGATTACATACACACAAAAAGGCTATCTGTCAGTGATAAAAATGCTCAAATAAGGTTGTGGGAAGGGAAAAAGTTACTTGGGGGAAAATTAAAAAAAAATACACAGATGATTTATTATCTGACAAATCAAATTTAAACAAAAACAAAATGATTTAAAAACACGAATATACCATTCAATGGAAACTGAAAAGGACAAAAATCTGAGATGAATGCACAGATGATAGTGAAAATGTACTCATCCTTCACCTGAGGCCCCATACACATCGGGGGCGTAGAGGGCACCAGTAGATCTGGAATGGTGTCTGGAGGCTGGAATAACAGGACCATACAAACCTCATCTATTACCACAGAAACAAGGAATAGTGGCAGCACTATAGTCAGGCAAGGAGACTTAGTCAACACTGGTATTACTAGTAACAGGTAAGGATCAGAATACTGCCAAGCAAGGCAATTGAACATCAGCACCGTTAACATTATCCTCGACACACAGAAGATCTTACACCTAAGGGGACAGACACAAGCCCACAGGAGACAAAAAAAAAAGCAAGTATTCAAATGGAAGGAAATGTCGAAAGTACAAGCGTGAGACAAAAAAATGAACACCGTAGTTTAAAAAAAAAAAAAACCACCATGGTAACTAGTAACCAATAATACACCTAAATCCTTTGGTCCCGAACCCAATGAGGCAGGTATTACTGTTCCATTTCATAGATGGGCAAATTGAAGCAGACAGGGACGTTAATTAACGTGATCAAAGCCACACTACGAGTAAGTGATACACCTCGGTATCTGTACTCTTTCAAGGCCTTTGCTCTCGAACGGTACATGTACCGTCTTCACATCGTTCAAAAGATAACATACCTCACTTACGTTAATCAAACATTTTCCATAATGGTTCACAGAATACAAGTTCTGCATTCGGTAAAAGATTTAAATATCAAAGACATGTGAACGTAAAAAAAGGATATCAATAATACAATCAAAAGACCTACAAAAGGTCTCCCTATATTTATGTCATGTTTCTCTACGTCTAATTTTAGCATATTTTAAGTTTCATACATTAAAACCCCGATTTTCACAATACCATAAAGTCCATCTTCTTCCTACATAAATATTAAAGATTCATTTTAATATTTAATGAAATAGATTACTCATAGTTAGAAAGTTACTCTTCTTCAGATATATATATTTTATTAAAAAAATTTTTTTTAATGTTTATTTATTTTTGAGAAAGAGAGACAGAGTGTGAGTGGGGGAGGGGCAGAGAGTGGGAGACACAGAATCCGAAGCAGGCTCCAGGCTCTAGGCTCTGAGCTGTCAGCACAGAGCCCGATGCGGGGCTTGAACCCTTGAACTGAGAGATCATGACCTGAGCCGAAGTCGGACGCTTAACCAACTGAGCCACCCAGGTGCCCCTCTTCAGATATATTAATTAGAGCAGTTAAACTACTTTTTTAAAAAAAGTTTATTTACTATTTTGAGAGAGAGAAAGTGAGCAGGGAAGGGGCAGAGAGAAAGGGAGAGAGGGAGAATCCCAAGCAGTGGGATTAGTCCCCAACGTGGGGACTAAACTGACAAACTGTGAGATCATGACCTGAACCGAAATCAAGAGTCGGATGCTCAACCAACTGAGCCACCCAGGTGCCCCCAAAACACTTTATTACATGAATCACTCTTTTCTTTGCCACTGGACCTTAATGAACGCAAAAATGATCAAAAGGATTGAGACAAAGGATTAAACAGAATGCTGTTCAAAATGTTTAATCAGACTCTAAAAGGTCACTGCTGTTGTTAATAAAACATAATACATAGTTTTAATTCTACCTGAAACAATTTTTAAAATGGTGACGGTTGAGTCAATATGAACATGCCCAATGGATGAAAATTTGTGAAAAATTTTATGGTATCAATGGTGGCTGAAGGTAAGAGGTAAGTGGCACCACTCACATTCTTGTAGGAACATAAGCCTATTTTTTGAAACTTGGCTCCAGAAGTAAATGGAAACTAGGGTACAACTTCCAGAGAAGTTCAGCTTTGCTCAGCTCTGATTTATTTCTGATGCTTTAGAGCCCTTACAGCGGCTCTGTGCCACAGCTGAATGCATAGCAAACTACGGAGCTCACTTGCTGAATGGCGACATTCAAGTCGGAGGTGAAAAAAGAGATTCACCGGGTAAACCCAGTAAGCACGGCAGAATGCAGGCAGACACCACAGACAACGGGGATGGGAAGGCTAACCTGATCTCCGAGGCGGCTACTCCTCACCCGTCTTATAAGAGGGCGAATCTGCTACGTTTACAAAGCAGCATCCAGATGTAAATAAAAGGGCTACAAAAATCAATTCTCCTAAAACTACAGGATTAAAAGATCTAATCTTCTTTAACCCAAATAGAATGTTTCATTAGAATCAGGAAAACAGCTTCCTTAAGTTGTCAAATGGAGGCTTTGAGATGAATCTAGAAAATTAATGGCTAGCTACCATTTCTTTTTAAAAAGACCTAGTAGCAAGGCTTATTAAGTGATTCATGGTTGGTTATAAATTTCCTCTCATGTCTGACTACTGCACAGGTTTAAAAGGTACAGAAACAGATTTCGTTTTCTTCTTGATATCTCATGTTTTCTAATAATTCTGCAGTACGGCATTATGCAAAGACAGGTGTTACCCCATTAAAAACATCTAAGATCTCTGCCACAGAAGTACAAGGGAACTACTTCGAGGCAAGCAGTCAGAGCTTGGTCAGATGACCAAGTGCCTACTGTGTGCCAAGCACTGTTGCCTATGTTCTCTCATTTACAGCTTCTTCAAAACAATGCTAACAAGTGCATGCTATTCATGTCCTACTTTTACAGATGGGGAAACTCAGGTACAGAAGTTACAGAGCCCAGGCCGTCTGACCCTAGAGCACAGGCTCTTAAACCATCACACGCCCACTCACTTTCTTCAACTCTTCAAGATGGCATGCTTACTTTATACAAACGTAGGATTTATTTCATTTTTAAACATATATGCATGAACATATACCGTGTACATCTATACGCATGCATGTGTGCATATACACATACATAGTCTGCATATGAACTAAAAATACTGTATATGACTATTGCATATGAGTTAAAAACATCTCTGGCAAAGCACTGGAAGGGAACTCTTCACCCGGAACTAGAACACACACATCAAAGGCCGAGGATGGCTCTATCTGTGTCCCCAGCGCAACGGGGTTTTCTAGGTCGGTACACGACAGTCCAGTGACTTATTTGAACCAAATGGCCCAGAGAACAAGACTTTAACCTCTGGATGTTCTACACTAACATGTCTATTGAAGGAAATAATAATTCCACTTGGCAGAACTGCACCATGTGCAGAACTATGTTCTACTTAAAAGTCACAAAATCTGAAGAGCAAATCTCTAAGTATTACAGTAATCTCTATTTTGTGGAATTAAAAGAAAAAATCTGAAATGGCTTTAGGTATGTATATAGAAACCAAGTACTAGTTAAAAAGCTGAAAGACCATGCAGAAACTCTAAAACATTTCAATGTAAAAAATTCTGCCTCTCTGATTATTCTCAAAAATTCTAAGTTTAAAAAATCACTTACTATTTTTATAGCTGAGGTAAATATACTATTATAGGGAAGGATATAGTATAATCTCTATAATCAGGAACACAGAGGTTTTACAGCAGTGACACAACACAAGCTAATATATGGGGAACAACGATTATCCTGTATAATACTATTTTATATACTAACCATTTTAGTAAGTAGTTCATATGGTATTTTGCAGCACTCTTTCTGGTAAATATCTAAGGTGAAATGTTAGTATTTCTGCTGAAAAAACCAACAGCATTTATCTTATCAAATGAAATGGTCCATACTTCACATGAGTAAATATTTAGCTATTACCTTTAAATTTTATAGGTTTATTTCTTAAGATAAATCTTGAACTCCACATCCTGTAGTCCAAATCTATGTGCTATTTACTTGATTACGGAGACAATCTGTTTATACAAGGTCTAGCCTACTCATTTCAACAAGTAAGTGTCAAAGGAATTGCCAAACCTGTAATTTCCTTACGACTCTTTCTTCTGTCAGGGCAGAAAAGAGAGGCAAAGAAAGACACAGTCGATGAAGAAAGCTAAGCCCTAAGTACACGGAAGTTATCTGATGGCGATTAACAGGGCCAAGAAACGCACCCGACACCTGCGCAGGTACCTACCGAGGGGCTGAAAAGAACGAACAGGACTTGTGTCCCGGCTGCTCTCCCGACTGGCTTCCCGGCTGCACCCTTGACTCACACTTGGTCGAGGAATACGACTGCTTCGGGCTGGTACAAAGAAACAGCCGCAGAGAAAGGGAGGAAACAAAAGACAGAGTTTGCATTTTTGATATGTTCATTTTAGTTTTCTTTCTCAAAACTGATTAATAGGTTAAGTTGTACTAAGGCTGAGAAGAAACTACTCTTGGTAAGGTATTACCAGGAATACGATACAGGTAAATTTGAATACAGTCCTCCAGTTTGTATGAGATTAGAAGGGTAAAATAGTATTTTGCAAACATAAGTAGGCTGCAAATAAAAAGCTTTAAAATACACTTTAAAATTATACTTTCAAGGTAAAATACCTAATTCAATTTACAACCTGTATTTAAATTCTCCCTGAACTCTCAGTTGTTTTCTTCTAGCTTCTAAGCACCCAGCTGAAGTCTTCACTGTTACCCAAGCCTGGAATACAAAAGAAGAGGCCCCAAGTCTCACAAAGAAGACCTTACCCACGGACAGCCTAGACGGACTAGCCTCTCTGCTACACCCCTGGCTCCGTGGGATCTTGCTTCTCTTTGGCGCCGAGGCGGAATTGACCAAGACTCTCTGAACACCAGAGCTCACAGTAGAGAGGGCTGTTGTGCTCAGAACTCTTCCTGGAGACCCGGACCGGCTGCCAGCTGAACACCAAACACACGTGCAAGTGTTATGATGTGAATTCTAAGAGAACTTGTTGAAAGGACAAAAATTCAAGAAATACACCTGAGGAGACTGGGATAGTATGGCAAGTTCTAAGTTCAAAGGAAATGGACTGAGGAAGACATGTGCATAGAATCATAACCTGGAAAAAAAGGTATGCTGTATATACTAGGACTGAAGAGTGAATCATATAAAATATATTTTCAGTTTTGGGGGGTATAAGATGTTATGTTTAATAAGGGCAACACTAACAATAGTATGTTTGTTTCAGAACACAAATAGTATAAAGGATTTCAAAAAAAAAAATAACTTATCTGACAATACATCTCATGTGGCTGAGGCTATATATTAAAACTATGTATTTATAAGGAACGAAATTAGTCATTACGTTATTTCTATTTTTTGTTATATAATAAACATTTGCTTCCTGTGAAACAGCTGGCCTTTCTGAGATGCTTCTGAATGGGTATAACAAAATTATTTTGTTACTATGTATACTTTTAATTTTTACAAAATTAAATTTTAAAGGTTTATAAAATTGGGCCGGCTAAAAAAGAAACTTGCTTTTTGCCTTCAAACCGCAAAGGGATCTTGGGTGGAGATGCAGAAGTACCGAGAGTTAAAGAGAACTAACAGCAAATGTCAGAGAAGTCCGACCCCTTCCCAACTAGGGATTCTCAGTCTTGGAAGGCAGAGGATACGTGGGCCGGGGAAAAGAGAGAGGGCGCTGGACAAAATCTCAGAGACTGGGGCAAGGATTAAGAGATGGGCTCCTCGGCAATCAAAACATTTTACGTCTGCACTGAACGGGAAAACAAACTAGGTCAACTCCAAGATGTAAGTTAACTCTACATTCTGAACGGTAGCGTTATAAAAAAGGTGAACTTGCACTTAAATAAATGAAAGCAACTTTTCCCCTTTGTTGGGCATCGCTTCTCTTCACCAACAGGGCAGTCACTGCTCACCTTGATAATCTTATTTCATTTCCACAGAGCAAAACCCAAAGACTCAAGTGCCAATGTGGTCAAGCAGGAGATGTTTATGAGGGAGGAGCACTGAGTGTGAGGCAGGGAGTGGTGACTTTTCAGCTCCAGCCAGCTGTGTCTTGAGGCAATACTAGCCAGGTTTTAGGGTTTTGTAAAAAAAAATGAAAACTCTGAAAGTTCCTCATTTTTATCATGGTGTGTAGACCAAACAATACATGAATGGAGGCCAGCTGGATATTGTCCATGGGCTGCTGATCTGTGACCTTCACTGTAGTGTTCTTGGCATGGTCTTGCTGAATACGATTTAAATTCATGCTTAATTCACAAACTTTATCAGCACACAAATTTTAAATTATCCTCCACTGGTTATAGCAATACTGTATAAAAGCAGTGTTTCCAATGAAATTAACAATTTATTTGAATAGAAGTAATTCTAAGTTATTACAGGGAAATTATTCAACTCTACTTTAAAACGATGGCTCATTTGAATTGTCTCTTGGTGTTTCAGGTGAAGAATCTTCAAAGTAGGTTTTTTTCAGTTATAACCTTAAGGATACCCACAAGGCACCTATTTTCTCCATGCAGTATCTAAACTAAACATACACACCAAAACATCCAAACACCCAACATGCCACAAACTCACAATGCAAGATAAGCCAATGGAATATTTTATGGGAACACTTGCAACGATATAAAAAGTATAAATAATGAGTTGAATGAACACATACAATATGATATTCTGTTAAAACTGATATAAATTTTAAGGGGTGAAGGTGTTGGTAGGAGACCGGAGAATTTCTTGAAACGTGTGGGTCTATTCAGCAGAGAGGAAACATGCAGGACTGAAGGACAGTAATCACTCCACCGGTTCTGGATTAACTGTATTCATCAAAATTATGCAACCTCACCCTCTATTTAAACTCATTTATACCCTCTCCTAGAAAATAAAATCAGCAATGTTTATTTTGCTTTCATCATTAGCCTCTCTTCTCCACTAAATCCAGACCTCAACCAACAGTGTGATAATTCCAATGCCTAGGACTCGTTCTGGAGTTATTTATACTTAGGAGATAACACCAAGGCTCATTCCCCAGCCAAGAACTGCCAAGGCTAATTGCTTCTTCTAAGAAAACCACTGAGTTGATGAAAAAGGGCATGCTGTACCTGGGAGCGGCATGCTACTGGAAAATACTCTAATTTGCAAAACCTGACGGTGGGTATCTAATTTTTCTCACACCACCTAAAATTCTCAAACTACCATTTTAGAACTTTTTACAAGGTATTTTCAAGGCATTACTAAAGCTCCTTTGCTTTTGAATGTCAAAAGCTGCGGGATCCACTTGGATATTTTCAACAACTCAAGGTTTTAGTGATAAAGACAGGCCAAAGATAACTGGCAATTTTTGCCCCAATATGGTTGCACCACGATGGAATATGATGTTGAGAATTTCTGCTGAATAGAACCCATTCTCGATAATGAAAACAGGTGATCAAACAACAGATGCACACATAAAGTCTATAGATTCTTACCACCAATGGTATTAGCAGATTGTGATCCTGAACAAGTGTAAAGGCAGAATTAGGGTAAGGATTATAATCCATGAAGAGGGAAGGAGATTTAAAATGAATGGCAGATGAAAATAAAGCTTTAGTCAGTTCTCATAAAATAAAAAAGCCCTGAAGCAAAAAAAGCAAACTTCAAAAGAAAACTCCCTAAACCATAGACGTCTGTAACAAAAGCAGTACATTGAGTAGCTTTTACAGCTGAAATCAGACACTCAGGTGCAAAGCAGATGAAATGAAGTGCAAAAATAAATGTAAGTTCTTCAGCTTTCCTTCTGCTAAAGGCCTATAATCTCAATAATTAAATGTTTAACTTTTTATTATTTAAACATTTAATTTGAAACTACAGGTAAAGAAGAACTACAACATCTTAGAGCTGAAGAAAGCATACATGAAAAAGCTACGTTTTTTTTTCTTTCAGATGCACAGGAGGAAACCCCAAAAACAAACGGCAGGGGCTTGGGGTGAGGAGACCAAGTTTCTGACGGGCTGCACAGCCGTTTGTACACAACCAGTCGCTACCGACAAGAACACAAGACGCCATCCTCACGTGTAACTAGAGACCTGGAAATTTCTCCAGTGGGTCTGCTTTTATTTATTCTGATCAGTCATCAGAACACACCTGCTTTGACCCATGATGTTTTCCCTAAATGCTAATCTACAACCATGGAAGGACCACGCAAACTCTAATGAATTACTTCATGACAAAGTGAAGACGGAGGTCACAGCGATATTTCTGTGCAAGTACGTTGTAAAGAAACTTGCGTCAAATCATACGGGGCCACAATTTCCTTTTGCAAAAGGATCTAGAATGGAATATACAGTCACTCGAATAAATAAGGAAGCAAGCAAACAAAAACCTCTCCAATGTGATTTAAAACCCGAGTGATTTTATAGGGAGCAAGTCTTCCGATCTTAAAATCCTACCAGGTCTAAAAAGCCTGTCATTATGTTCTCATACTTCCGTAAAGGATTCTAAGTATTGTAGATTGGGTTTCAAAGTGAAAAACCAAATGCAAAATAGTTATTCTATATCCTACTGACGTGATCAGTAATTACAAAATACCTAAAAGGGAGGTCCTTAATATATTAGAAAACCATACACAAAGCACTTTGAATCTTTGCCACAAGTTCCATCTTGCTATTCCTTTAGAAAAGAACTAAGTAAAACAGCTCACATCAAATTAAATTTTATCCTTAAGATCCTAGATATAGACAGTTTTGGTTTGCTATCTTTACTCTTCTTTATGCTTTAAATTTCCTAACATTATCATTATTTATTTGTTTCCTGAAGGTCATAAAAATAAAAGGTACAAAAGTACACAACAGGAGTTTAGATTTCAGTTATAGTTAATATGGTTAATAGTGGCAAGAAGCACAATTTTATCAGCTGAAATATATAATGCTTCTTCTGGGCCCAGGTACGGTCTTCAAGATATTAAATGTACTACAACACTGAATTACTGCAATCCTCTGAGATCATCTTCTTCATTTTATAGGTGAAAATACAGGGCCGCCTGGGTGGCTCAGTCGGTTAAGCGTCCGACTTCGGCTCAGGTCACAATCTCGCGGTTCGTGAGTTCGAGCCCCGTGTCGGGCTCTGTGCTGACCGCTCAGAGCCTGGAGCCTGTTTCAGATTCTGTGTCTCCCTCTCTCTCTGACCCTCCCCCGTTCATGCTCTGTCTCTCTCTGTCTCAAAAATAAACGTTAAAAAAACATATATATAGGTAAAAATACAGAAACACAGCGACTTTAAATGAACTGGAAGAGCCATGATTCAAATGTGGGCAGTATGGCCCCAGAATCCATGATCTGAATTGGACACTTCTCAGACTTTACTATAACACGCTCACTTGGCGATCGTGTTAAAAAGCGCCTGGATTCAGGAGATGTGTGGTGGCATGAAACTGTGCATCTCTAACAAGCTCCCAGGTGATGCTGATGCTACACTTGGAGGAGAAAGGCTCTAAGCTGCTCTGCTGCAACTGCTACAGACTGAGTTACTTACGAGGTAAGCCAGGGCTCCCGGCTGGCTCAGTCTGTTAAGCATCCGACTCTTGGTTTCGGCTCAGGTCATGATCTCACGACTTTGTGCGTTCAAGCCCTGCAATCGGGCTCTGTGCTGGCAACTTGGAGCCTGCTTGGGATTTTCCCCTTCCCTTTCTCTCTGCCCCTCCCCGGCTAGTGCTGTTTCTGTCTCTCAAAACAAACAAAAACTTAAAAAAAAAAAAAGTTACTCTTAAAATCCAGAAAACAATAAAAATAAAAATACGGAGTATCAGGGAAGATTGTGGATGATTTATTCCTAATTTGGTTGGGAGAAGAGCCTTTACCCAGAGGACATTTGCCATTCTTCCTATTTATAAATAACCCTCAAATTGCAAACCAATTTTACCAAGCATTTCTTTATTTTTAGGACTCTTGTTGAACGTTCCATCATTTTTCTGCCTGGATTTTTTGACTTCGGAAAGAGGAGGAAAGGAGAACCCGCTGGCAGGACCTGAGTCATCACCGCCTGGCTCCCTCCAAGCCCAGCTCTTTTCCTGGATTCCAGGATTCGGGAATCAAATAAGAAAGCAGACAGAGCATCTGTATCTTTATAAATTGCCTAAACCACCGTGAAAGATAAAGATATTTCTTTTCGAAATGGCCAAGTATGTAGAATAACCCCCAAATTATTTCCCTAGAAAAAAAATCTGTTTTTAGAGCCAAGGGCTAATGAAAATCTCTTGATAAAGAAAGAATAGGAAAAAACTCTTTTAAATTAATAATGCCATAAATGTGTTCAGGAACATGTAGAAATGAATCATTCATTTTACCTAGACCTCAAAATTGTGCTTTTTAATAATTGTACTTATGAGGAACTCCACTTCCAACGAAATAGTAAATACAAATCTTAAATTTAACAAGGAGCATAATAGAACTGGACACTTCAATTTATGTTTCCTCGCTATAAATCAGTATATACCTGTCCCAAATGCTAACTGTATTCTGAAAGATTTTGGAGAGAGTTTGAAGACCCGCTTATCTGTCCTTGAATAGCATTAGCTAGATGCAACCAGATTAGATGCTAACACATGGCGATTATTTTGCCTCTAAAAAGCACAATTTTCTACATTTGCAAGTTTGAGTAGACCGTGAAAACCTTAAGGCTAAGAGTTCTGTGCCATTTAAAATATCTCCATGCAAAAGTCTGTACAGCAGATGAAGTATTTTCTTTCTAAGTGGCAGATACCAATGATGCAGCCCTAGGAACACACCAAAGACAAGACGACACCCACTCAAAAAAATTCCAGAACATGCACAACAACTGATCCAAAACATTGAAAAAAAAAATACCTTCATTTTTGTCAGGTGATGACGAACCTAAAGTACAGAACAAGAACTCAGTATGCGGCTTGTGTCTGGAAGTCAGCTCTGTCTTTACCCACTGCTCAAGCGCCTAGGACAGTCAGTCATACGCAAGCAACACGCTTCTCCTCAAGTATCACACATCCGGGAGGACGCATAGGCAATACGTACGCTGAGACTGAGACACCATTTTGGTTCGACTTCTTCCTCGAGAATCTGTCTTGGCATTTCCCATGCCCGCGAGGGGCGCTGCTGAAAGCTTTGCTCTCACCCGGCCTGAGGAATAAATTTATGGATGTAATTAAAGACGTTTTTCTAGAATCATACGTACTAATGAGGAGAAAAAAAAAAATCTCACTCTAAGTTTCTAATTGGGTGTGCTTTTCAAGTATCGTTAAATTCTGTCATAATGTAACCGTCACTGAGAGGTTATATTTCTCTTTAAATTTTTAAAATATATACTCCTTTATATGTGCTGCACCATAAGCTAACTTTTCTTCAAGGGTAAAAATAAAGTCAAACTAAAAGATCTCCTTTCTTAGCTTGATATTATTAGTCCAGTAGAGTTATAATTAAGATATTTACACAGGCATGCCACTTGCTTCTTAACTGGCAGTTCCAACTCTAAAATTTCAATTTCTATGAAACTAAGTTTATTCTGAAATACAGACTATAGTTTTAAATATAAGCCTACTCTTAGAACCAACAACCCAAACAGTTCTTTTGACTGAAAATACACTTCTAGATTTGCAAGAAGAGATATCAGGTCAAGTATTTAGTTTTTTATCCTGTGCTAAACATCAGATTACTATAGATAGATATATTCTCTTCCCCCAACCAACTTCATTTATGAAACAACTTGAGGAAATACCTATCACATAAGAGCTGGCACTTTTCTCGGTATGTTTCCTTCTCCACCTCCCGGCCGCACTCCCTTCCCTACCACTGCCTCATTCCCCTCCACAAAACCAAGCCACAAACATCTATTTCTAGAGCTCCTGAACCAAAGGAGATCTCGTTTCTCAAAGTACCTAAGTGTCATTAGTAAAAAAATATATTAGCAGTAAGCAGTCTCAACCACTATCAAATCTGAACCCACACTGGATGCAATCATAAAGAGGGCTCACAATCCTTTGAGGTTAAAAGGTACAATTCGTAGGGCAATCACTGTACTAGCTAGCCTGGAATGGCCATATTAGTCAGGAAAAAAATAAATGAAGAGTAAGGACAAATTACAAAATTAAGAACTGAGTGACAGAAGATAAGAGAGTGATTAAAAACCAGGAATAAAACAGAAGTCTAGTTGGTGAGTCCTATGCTCTCAATTCTTCAAGGCCCTTAATAAGCCCATAGTTCAGGCTTTTTACCCTTTTACAGAGTCTGTTTAAAGTAGGATACAATGTTCTCCCGACTAAGAAGCAAAACAGAAAGACAAAATTATTATTTTTGAAATGGAGAATTTATCCAACACAACAAGGAAATGAGAATAAATATTTTGATACTATCATTCTAAATTACAAGGCTAACGTGCCAGAAACCATTTTATAGAGTACTCCAATTTAAAATTTAAAATATGAAAATATTTCAAATACATCAGAGTAAATATGAGACCAAAAAAATGTTAAATATACTTGGCTTTGTACCACAAGGTCATCCATGTAAAACTCAGGAGAAAAAAGGTGTTTCAAAGTCAGAGGTTTATAAGACAGCCTTCAGGCAGTATAAATTGAAACACGGAATTTTTTTCCTTTCCACAAATTCAAAAGCAATGAATAATTATTTTCTTAAAGTAAACAGGCTTAGTAAAATAAAGTGGTATGTCTACGAAGCTTTTGTAATCCCCAATTCAAATCATATATGCAACTTTCCACTGTTTCTAAACCAAAGACACACTTAAAAGCGGACTAAATAAATGCACTTAGCCCCGCATGATAAAGCAATGGAGCATGCTCCCCCAAAGTATAAATGAATTAGCATAAATTAAAAAAACACACACACAAAATTAAAGAAAAACATTAATGATGCTGCTGAAAAAAAAAAGAAACTATTTATTAACTTTATACCAGATATTATTAAACACGTTAAGCAACTATGTTTTCCCAGCACGAGATGATCCAAGATACAAAGCAAAGCTCAAGATGAAGAACTAAAGAAAACAATCCACATCTGTAACTAACACAACCAAACATAAAATGTAGAAGTTGTCATGGCTGTCAAATTATATAGTTTTGCAAATTAGCCTATTTTAGTTTGTGATATTTAATTCCTACTAATGAAAATATTAATGTAGAGGTATTCGTGTTACTAACAAAATGTATGATTCTTACCATCTTCAGATGTTGCTCCTAAATAAGAGAAATAAAACAATAACATTTCAACAAATTCTGCCAATGCTGATGTTAAGATCTACTCGTACCTCCCACCCAAGACTACAATGAAAGAGTGAAAAAAAAAAAAATCTTCTAGTCTGATAGCCTTAAATTAACTTATAAAACATTCCGTTTGAGAGAAAACAAAATTTGAAGTAACCTAATGACACACAGCACAATAAAGGTTGAAACTAGACAAATGAAAATGGCAAAATCCCACAAAAAACACTTTTACCTGTGACATTTCACACTCAAAATTTGAAATGGTGAAGAAAATTATAGAAGCTAATCACCCAAGAAAGCTGCAGTCCTGTCACTGCTTTCTTTGAAATGAAGATTTTTATAAAATAAGAATACTTCCTATGCATTTTCTAAAGGGCATCCATAAAAGAACTAGAAAAACTGACAAACACGGGGGCCAAATGCATGACCCAGGCCTCATTAACCCACTATTTTCATCAAAGCATTACAGAGACCTATCAATCCATTAGCTGTGTACTCAACATTTATATACATTCCCTAAGATGTAAAGGAAAAGTAGCAAAAATGAACAAGTAAAAATATCATAACTCACTACTACTAAAGGGCAGTAATAGATATACCTCTGTAGGCGTATAGACAGATTAAAAAAAAAAAAATAGGATTGAACATCATTGAGAGTAACACATCACATGACACAGATGATTCTTCAAACAGGTTTATGTTTCTGACCCAAACAAGAAACGATTTTAATCTGGAAAATGAGAATAATTTAAGGACATACAATTTCAGTGCGAGAAGTGGTACTAAAGGGTTTTAAAATACAGAAACTATCTTTTGGTGGGCTTCCATTTCATTCAGTAATTTTTTAAATTTATGAAATACTTTCAACATAGAGAGGAGCACAGAGACAATCATGTCATGTATCCAACCCAAGATTAAATAAATCTTCCATTTCATTGGAATGGAAGTTCAATCTATTTGAGTTTATGAAGGAATAAACAGGAAACCACACAGTTCTCCATTTTTCCTCGATCTCCTACTAAGACTTACAGATTGAGTATCTTCTTACAAGTTCTTAACAAAAGCTCAAGTTCCTACACAACATTATGGTATCTGATGAAGCGAAGGGAAAATGCAGATAATACATTGTGTAGTATCAGACAAAAAAATACCAAACAGATACAAAACACCACACGGAACTGAGCAACTACAGATAAAGTATATTCATTTGAATACTGAAATGAAAAAGGCAAGACTTAAAGTTCAGTTCTGGTTAAATGTTAGTTAAAACTCACTCTTAAAAAGAAAGCATCTGTGACTTGCATTTTATTTTCACAGATAACCGTATGAATCTATCAGAGCTAGGAAACTCAAGAGTTCAATCAAATGACTTAGGGGATTCCTTTCCATTTTTATGAGTCTGATTCTATTTCAGAGGAAGACTTAAGAAATCGAGACTAGTTCTATGAGCTAAGGCAAAAAATTTTAAGATAATTGATTTTACTTACAACAAACAGTAACCTAGTACTTGAGTAGACTGGGAAACCCCAAAATGGATATGCCTAACTCCAAATTCAGAGAAATATGTAGCTATTTTTATATCAAATTGCTGCTAAATAAACAGTCTATTTTCAGAAATTAAGAGAATGAAGATATTATATAGGATCCAAGGGCCAAAAAATCTTTAGCAGAATTAGAAAAGGAAGTTCTTACCATCCATCTTGTCAGAAGTATCCTCTTTGATGAAAGAGCAAGCAAAGAACAGAGGAAAACTTAGCATATTAGAAAACAGTAATTTTACAATCCCTAGAAACATTATTTTTAAGAAGACAATTCATAACACAGACATATACATATGTTTTCAGCTAAAACATACTAGGAGATTTAAATAAGATGAGGTGCTCACACGAGGGAAAGATAAAAAAAAACAAAGAATCGGTAATGAATTTAATTTTCACCGGCCGAGAGAGAAGCTAGTGAAGCCTATATCCCCAGCTGGGACCTTTGCCATCATCAGGCAAACCTCTTGCTTTGGTCTTCGGAGTTTCTTGAAATCCAACACTCGTGATACCCCTGTTCCCAAAGGATTCAGTACTTAGGTGAGAGGAAAAACCCAGTGGCAATTGCTTTAAGGAACGTACTGTTTAACACTGAAAGAATATAGTAAGAAACATCTCTAGTGACTTCCAACTCTCCTCTCAAGCACAGGTCTCTCTCCTGAGTTGCAAACCACAACATCTCGATGCCACTGGATCTCTCCTGCTCTCATTATACCACTATGGTTCCTCAACACCTCCAGTCTGATGCCTCCCTGGGACTTTAAATGCTAAACGCATATAACACAACAAGCTTCTAGCGGCTCATCCTTTAGCAACCTACCACTAGACTGACAGACTCTGAGTACAGAAGCATATATTTCTGCACCTCTTGTACCAAGTGGGGTGCCTGGCAAAACCGAAGTGCTCACTGAGTGTTCGCTGAAAAACAATGGAACACTTCCTCGGATCCATAAATGTCCAGTTATGAGACGACTCAAAGTAGAAGAAAAGAGAGTGTACCAGTCACATGTGTATAAGAACGCTGGTGGTGATGGTGAATGGGGAGAGGGAGGGAGGGAAGAGGAGAGAGGCGGAAGAGGGGGGAAGCGGGAGAGGGCGAGGGAGAGGAAGAGGGGGAGAGGAAGGAATAGAGAAACAGAGAAGAAAGAGAGAGGAAGAAGAGAGAATCCATTATCCCCGGAAAGAGCCAGAGGCGAGTAGCTCACTGAGTATAAACCTGGGCCAGATAAAGAGGATAGAGGGACACCATTCCCTTCTGTAATGAAGTAAATGTGTGATTCAAACCTCAAAGAACCAAAATAAACTGAATCCATCTCACAGCCCTATTACAGACTTTCTTAAGGAAAAAAATGTTACAAACTGCCTTCCTAGTTCACATTAAAACGTTTCAAATATTGTATGTTTTTCCTGCTAATGAAAATAACAGACACTAAATCTCACATTTTTATTTTGAAAACTCCAGATAAATAGGTTTTATATTTGTTTTCCGGTGTTCTCCCCACTTAAAAAAAGGTAAGCTATAACTGCTGTACCATAAAATTCACCTTTTTATAGTATACAATTCAGTATTTTTAGTATATTAACCCCCCTCATCACAAATTCCATAAAGTTTTCCTCGCCCCTAAAGGAAATCCTGCATCCGTTAGGAATCACTCCCTATACCGCTGACTCTCAGCCCCTGGCAACTACTAACATTTTCTATTTCCGTGGGTTCACCTATTCTAGACATTCCATGTAAATGGAATCAAACAGTACATGTCTGTGTCTGGCTTCATGATGCTCTCAAGGTGCACCCATCCCGAAGCTTGCATTAGTACCTCTATGTAACGTACTCCCTCATGTGGCTGCCTAATATTCCACTCCACTGTATGGACACATCTGTTTAACGATTCACCAGCTGATGGACATCGGGGTTGTTTCCACGCTACTATGAACACTCATGTACACGTTTTTATGAGAACGTGTATTTCATAGTATCTTCGATATACAGCAAGGAGTGGAACAGTTAGGTCACATGGTAACCATTTCACTTCGTGCGAAACTCCCAAACTGTTGCCATAGCAGCGTTCTTACCAGCACCGTGTTAAGTGCTCACCAGCGCTTGGTACTGTCTATCCTCACCAGCATTTGTTACTGTCCGTCTTTTTGGTAACATCCACCCTCGTGGATATGAAGGGATAGCTTATTATGCTTCTGATCTGTACTTTCCTAATGACTAATGATGGCGGGCATCTTCTCATGCACTTTCTGGCAATTAATATGTTGTCTTTAGAGAAATGTCTATTCAAATCTTTTGCCCACTTTTAAATTTAATTGTTTTTTTGTTACTGAGCTCTAAGAGTTCTTCATGTAATTGGGATCTAAGTCCCTAATATCAGATACGTAATTTGCAAACGTTTTCTCTCATTCTCTGTTCTGTCCTTTCACTTTCTTGATGGTGCCCTTTGAAGCACAAAAGTTTTAAATTTTGATGAAGCCCAGTTTATCTCTCCTTTCTTAGATGGTTTGTGTGTTTGGTGTAGTATGTGAGAAAACATTAAATCCAAGGTTACAAAAATTTACACATATGTTTTCTTCCAAGAGTTTTATAGTTTTAGCTCTTAAATTTGGGTCTTTGATCCATTTTGAGTTAACTTTCTGGATATGGGATGAGGTAAGGATCCAAATTCATTCCTTGGCAAGTGGCTATCCAGTTGTTTCAGCGCCACTGGTTGAAAAGAATTCTTTCCCCACTGGATGGTCTTGGCACCCTTGTGAAAAAAAATCAACTGATCATAAATATACTGGTTTATTTTTGGTCCCTCAACTCCATTACACTGGTCTATATGTCTATCCTTACGCCAGTACTACAGAGACTTGATTACTTTAGCCTTTAAGTTTTGAAATTGGGAAGTGTTGAGTCCACCGACTTTCTCAAGATTGTTCTCAAAATTGTTTCATCTAGTTTTGATCCCTTGCATTTTCATATGGATTTTAGGATCTGCTTATTTCTATAAAAAGGCACCTGGACTTTTGATAGGGATTACATGGAGTCTGTAGGTGAATTTGCTATATTAATAATATTAAGTCTTTAGAGAACCTGGGTGTATTTCCATCAGTTTAGATCTTATTTAATTTCTTTTACTATAGGTTATAGTTTTCAGTGAACAAGTGTGAAAATAAATAAATAAATATATACACATATAAATATATATATACACATATAAATATATATGTGTGTGTGTGTGTGTGTGTGTATATATGTATATGTATACATTTTGCCCTTGGTTCTCTGTCCCCTGGTTCCTGAGACAGAGCACCTAAGACCCTTAAAATTTCCTAAATTGTAAGAGCACTAAGGATATCTTTTGTTCTAATATTTGGTCTTTGACCCCGGTGCCTGACAGATACCTTAAGACCCCTATAATTTCCTGGGTGACAGGAGTGTCTTTTGTTCTACTGAGGTGATTCCTGGTGGCTCCTGGAGAGCTTCAGAATGGAGGCTAGTCGCCAGGAAGATGAAGCCATGATTAAAAGCTTGAGAGTTTTTAGCCCTACTCTTCATCTTCTGGGAAGGGGAGAAAAGCTGAAGACTGAGTTAATGACTCATCATGCCTATAGGATGAAGCCTCCTTAAAAATCCCCAAAGTACAAGGTTCAGAGACTTCTGGGTTGGTGAATGTACCAGGTGGGTGGCACGCTGTGACTCCATGGGGACAGAAGCTCTTGTGCTAAGGACCCTTCTGGACCTTGCCCCATGTGGTTCTTCATCTGGCTGCCCATTCACATCCTTTACAAGTCCTTTGTAATAAACCAGTAATCTAGTAAGTAGACTGTTTCCTCGAGTCTGTGAGTCAGGCTAGCAAATTAATTGAACCTGAAGAGGTTATGGGAACCTCTGATTTATGGCTGGTTTGGTCAGAAGCTTGGGTGACAACCTGGATTTGCACGTGATGCCTCAAGTGTTGGGGTGGGGGCAGATAGGGGCAATCTTATGGGACTGAGCCCTTAACCTGTGAGCTTTGTGCTTACTATAGTTAGTGTCAGAACGGAATTGAAATGCAGGACACCCAGCTGGTGTAGGAGAACTGTTTGGTGTGGAAAACCCACACATCTGGTGTCAGCAGCATTATTAGTGTGAAAGTAAAGAAGAAACATGGGAGTGGTTTTTCCTAGAGAAGTCTTACACTTCTTTTTGTTATATTAATTGCTAAGTATTTTATGCTTTTTAATGCTATTATAATCGATATTGTTTCAAACTGTTCATTGCTAGCATTCGGAAATACAACTGATTTTTGTACATTGACCTTGTATTCTGCAACCTTGCTGAACTCATTTTTAAGCTCTAATAGTTTTTTTGTGGATTCCTTAGGATTTTCTCTACGTAAGATCATGTTTTCTGCAAACACAGAAAGTTTTACTTTTCTTCCAATCTGGACACATTTGATGTCTTTTTTTTGCCTTAACGACTTGGCTAGAACCTCCATGGTAATGTTGTTGGGAAGGGTAAGGGTGGAATATTCTCTTCTTGCTGCTGGTCTTGAGAAAGTATCCCGTCTGTCACATTAAGGATGATGTTAGCCCCGGGTTTTTCATAGATGTTCTTCACTAGGTTCACAAATTTCCCTTCCATTCCTAGTTTGTTGATTAGTATTCTCACAAAAAGGTGTCGGGTTTTGTCAAATGCCTTTTCTGCATCTACTGAAACAACTGTGGTTTTTTTGGTTTTGTCCTATTACTCTATTAATAGAGCATACTTAGTTGATTCGTTTTCATAGACTCAAGTCACACTGCATTTCTAACAAGGGAACATTTCTGTCCTTTCACTTTGTAACACAGAAACGTTTTACGAAAATTAAAAGCATTAAACAACCCACTTTTGACATCTTTTTTAACATCTCTGTCCATATATATTTAACATCTCATATATATTTAACATCTCAGTCCATATATATTTATGTATACTTTCATAGAAAATGATGAAATTATCACATTGTTAGGTACCATTCATTTGATCTTTGTTGAAAATACTACTCGTTAATGGCTGCCTAGTATTTTAAGTACATATCATAATTTGATCATACGTCCTTTGTTTGCATGTCAAGGTTGACTCTACTAATATCTATTATTAAAAACATGATGAATATTCTTTTTTATTTCTTAGTATAATTATCCCCTTTAAGTTTTCAGCCACTCAATTTTATATTTTTACACTTAAGACTGAAATCAGAGGGACTTTTCCCTCCTGGCTTTTGCGTTTAGAAATTCCTTCCCCAATCTGAGAAGAGATGAATACTCAAGTACTTTGGTTTCATCAAGTTGCTTTCCAACTTTTTAGTCATCTGGATTAAAAAAAAATTTTTTTTTTAATGTTTATTCATTTTAGAGATAGACAGAGCACAAGTGGGGGAGGGGCAGAGAGAGCTAGAGACAGAATCGGAAGCAGGCTGCAGGCTCTGAGCTGTCAGCACAGAGCTCAACGCGGGGCTCGAACCCACGAACCATGAGATCATGACCTGCGCCAAAGTCGGACACTTAACCGACTGAGCCACCCAGGTGCCCCTGGAATAAATTTTTATACTTTTATAAACCCTATTTACCGAGTAATGTATCCTTTCCTCACTGACTGTTGCTGTGCCACACTTTATCACGTACTACAATTCATCCTACTATCTCCGCACTTCCCACTGCGTTCCAATGATCTGCCTGCCTAGGGTTCTACCATACTACCTAAGAGGAAAAAAAAAAAAAAATGAAGCACAAAAATAGAGATAAGCAATATGAATCACCAGCCTCAAACTTTTAAAGTTGATAACACACAGAGGCACCTGGCTGGCTCCGTTGGAAGAGCACACAGCTTTCAGTCTTGGGGTCATGAGTTTGAGCCCCACGCTGCGTGTAAATATTATTAAATAAATAAACTAAAAAACATGAAGTCGATAAACATAAAAAACAAACTCCAAATAGCTCTGGGAATACATGGTTCAGCTCTGATTATAATTAAGCTTTGCACTTTCCCCAGATCCCCGAAAGGCTTTCTCGTGGTAAGGGAACAGAAGCTGGCTACAAGGCCAAAGCCCTTCCCAACTTCCTCAAGTAGGCAGTGGTTGGGCATGGCAGGAGCACAGAAGGGTGCAAATTCTATAGGCAAATTATGGAGTCAAGAACTGTTCCTCTGATGCGGACGTTCGGGAGGATGACAAGGGAAAAGTCGAAACAAGGCAGCTTGAGTACCTTCCAACTATGTCCTAAGTACGGAATTCTATTAAAAGATGCAGACTATCCTTAACTGGCGAGAATGGACAAGAGGCGATTAAGATATCGTGGTCGCCTGACTTCGCTGAGACCAGGGAGAAAACAACGGACGCTACCCCACGGAGAGCGGCCTTACCTAGTGACGCGTAGGAACCCGGATTCAGGGCCCCTGCACCCAACCGCCCGCTTCGCGCAGACTGCCCGGCAGCATGGTGAGCCTTGGCACCAGCAGCAGCATTCACGTCGATGTCGCTTCGTGAACGCTGCAGGCTTCCGGGAAGGCAACTGGCTTTGCTGCTGCCTGCCGACACTACGGGAAACAGAGCAGAGGCAGCGTATACGATTTAAATGGCCACAAACAGTACGGAAGGTACATCGACTTGAAACCACGACGAGCTAGTCCACGACGACCAATGGTCAAAGAGGGACTGGTGCACAAACGGACACGGGAAAGCACTTCGCGGTATTTTGAGGTCGGGGTCCTTCCGTTTCAACCCTGTTACCCCTAAATCTTCTTGGACAGTCTTCCCAGTGTTTTTCTGCCTCACTTTCCTCTTGCATAAAATGGGAAAAACCTCTGTATTGGTGAAATTCACACAACTGCTCTGTAGATGACGAGACGGTGTCTATGACTGATTCATGAAAATAAAGCACAGGAAGCACTGTACGAGATACACGGAGGACAGCAGTGTTTTTCTTACTATCAGAGACATGCAAGGAGAACTACCACTCTAGCATACGGTTATTCAGAAAATAATGCAAATTCTACCCCTCTTAGGCAAAGCAAATTGAGCCATTCAATTTCTGGTCTGTAGTTTTCAGTTTTAAAAATGAAGAGTTTTATAAACTGTGACTTATGATCCATGAATAGGCCATGAAATCAACAGAGTGGGTCATGACCAACATTTTAAGGAAGTGACACAAAAAAGAGTGCATTGCAAGTAAAGGTAAGCGGTGCTTCAGGGAACTTGGATTATACTCTATTCTGTACAGTATATGTAGAACATATGCATATAATTACATACACCCCATTGTACATACTGTGTGTAGTATACGTATATGGTATACAAATGTAGGTACAACGTACATATGTGGTATTAGCTTACTGCATAAGATGATGTTCTCACTACACAGTTAAAAGCAGTAACTTTTAAACTGTTCTGATGTGGCCCGTGGTGAGAAAATAATTTTATTATTTTTTTAAACGTTTATGTATTTTGAGAGACAGCATTCGCGTGCACGAGGTGGGGAGGGGCAGGGAGAGAATCCCAAGCAGGCTCCTCGCCATCGGCACAGAGCCCGATCCGGAGCTCAATCCCCGGACCTTGAGATCATGACCCAAGTCGAAGTCGAGAGTTGGCCGCTCAACCAACTGAGCCCACCAGGCGCCCCGAGAACAATTTTAAATAGTAACATGACTTCTAACGTAGCTTTACTTTGTTATTCAGTACAACATGCTTGGACTCTTGCTTAGAAAAAGACAGTTTACCTCTTCCAGCCACAGTCGATGGGTTTGCTGTAGACCATTTGGAAGAAAAAGGGCGACTGCAAGGTAAAAATAAATGCTTTTAGTAAGAAGATGTAATTTATCACTCTTCTCAGAACAATGAAATACTGAGTTTTCTGAAGAGTTGTCTTAATTTCATTTTAATTTTCCTTTTACAAATCACTTCAGAACAGTGTGGTCCCTCAGCTGTGGAGCAGAAATGAAACAACTAGCAGCGAAGAGACCGTAAGCTCTACAAAGACAAGCAACCGGCCTGCTGGTGTTCACTTGGGTCCTCGGCACCCACCACAGTGCTCACCACGCAAGACCCCTGTACCCCAAGATGTCTTCCTTAGAAGGAGACAGGGGTAGTGTCATCACCAGCACACAGGGAGTTCAGCGTGACCAAAGCCTCTTCACCTAAGCCGTAATGGGCGCGGCCAACGGCACTTCAGACAGCTACCGAGTAGGTATCACACCGCCTATGGCAGTGCTGAGCGTAACTGCCTGGGACAAGAGGAACGAGGCTGAGGGCTCCTGCTGAGGATAACACCAACGATTAGAAAGCAAAACAGCTCAGATCATTTCAAAGGATCCATCTGCCCTAGTTATCTTTACAAAAATGGTTTTTAAATGTTTATTTCTGAGAGAGAGAGAGAGAGAGGCAGAGAGACAGAGAGAGAGAGGGGGAGACACAGAATCCGAAGCGGGCTCCAGGCTCCGAGCTGTCAGCACAGAGCCCGACGCGGGGCTCGAACTCACGGACCGCAAGATACTGACCTGAGTGGAAGTCGGTGCTCAACCGACTAAGCCACCAGGTGCCCCTGCCTTAGTATCTTGATTATCTTTCATTATAATGCTATTCTGCAGCCCATAGGTAAATAATATGTCTAGGTATGTCTAGGGGATCAGGGAAGTTTATCTACAAGTTTTAAAGGAAGAGGAGCAAAGACCCCAGACAGGTCCATGGTAGGAAAGGTTAATTATTCCTACGATAATTACACTGAAATGGATCGTATCTGCTTTTTCACTGGACGTTAAGTACAGCACTCACAAAACACTGGGAGTGCCTTCCTGGATCCTGTGCCCTGGGTGCCTCACTTGCCTCTCCCTCATCCCACTCCTGCATCAGGGCCCCGCCAAGCAACCAGCAACCTTTGTGTGGCCAAGGTCCCACGGGATTACACAGAGGTGAGCTCACATTCTGTGAGCTGTTCTTCCCTGGGGAGACCTGCAGACACTTGTGGCCACCCTAGGGAGTAGACATGGCATCAGAAATTCTAGCAATCTCACAGGGCTAGAGAGAGAGAAAGTTAGGGTTAAGGCTGCCAAGGCAGGAAGGGTTTGAGGAAGCCAATATAATGAGAATGCAATTACACAGAGGTGAGTCAGATACTAGTGAATCTGCCACTGATCCAATTTGCCACTGAGGAACTGGCTCAAGTCTTCAGTTGTGCAAAGACAAGGAAGGAAAGCAGTGTGTTTACTAGTCACACGGTGCGGTGTAAGGGTTCTGAAGATGACTTCAGAGTCCCCATTACAATTCCTCCATTATAATGCCCTAGAAATGGGCAGTCTATTGTACCAACTATTTTGGGGGTACTAAAATATATATATATATATATATATATATATATATATATATATATATATATATATATATATATATAAATTAGTGCTTCCCAAACTTTTTCAAAGGCATGAAAGCACAGACACAAAATCTGAATCACTACACTCTTTGCCTGAAAAGAAGTTACACTAGCATGTAATCCAACCCTTGCAACAACAGACCAAGAGACGAGTAAGTACAGCTGACCTCGAACAACACAGATCTGAACTGAGTGGGTCCACCTACATGAGGATTTTTTTAATACAGTACAGTACTGTAAATGTGTTTTTTCCTTATGATTTTCCCAATATTTTTTCCTCTACCTTCCTTTATTCTAAGAATACAGTATATAACATACATACAGCATACAAAACGTGCCCATCGACTGTTTATGTTCTCGGTAAGGCTTCCGGTCAATAGCAGGCTATTTGCAGTTAAGTTTTGGGTGGGTCAAGTTGTATGCGGATGTTCAACTTCACGGGGTGTTGATGCCCCTAACCCCCATACTGTTCAAAGGTCAACCACACTTTCCAGTAATCATTCTTTTAAGGCTTGAAGGGGAAGCAAGCAGACACCCAACCATCTAACTTATGGAACTACAGGGAGTTGGAGAGAGAGTAAGAAATCAGTAATTATCATTTATATGACCTTACTTGAGACTTTCCTGTGAGCTAGATGAGGACCTGTCTGATTGTGGAAGAGATGCTACACTGCCAGAACTCTTTAAGTAAGTCTGAAGACTCTTCTGATAAGATGGCTCGAGTGAATTATACAACGTTTCGGCTTCACCAGGAAAGTGGTTTCTAAGACCCATGTATGTCCTGTAAAACAAAAGAACAAGTAACAACAAAAGAATATAAAGTAATAGCTTTACATAAAATGTGCACATTCACGACGAATGAAGATGAGACCATATTAATATATCCACCACCTATCAAGTGAATACTTTCTAAATCTAACAAGTTTTGGTGGAAAGATGGCAGGCTTTTGAGAAAAGATCTCAGTCCAAAATCTGGTCGTGATCCTTACTGTTTGCATGGCCGTGAAAAAACCCCTGAATCTCCAAACTTCTGTTGCCAGTCTACAGAGATAGCATGTTTGCAGGTCATTTCCAAGACTAGACAGTAATGTAGACCCAACTGCTCCACAGTATCAGGTACTTAGCACATTCTCAATAAGTGACAGTTATTTTTATTCATAATGAAAGTGAAGGTGTTATGATGGAATAGGAATACTGACGATGATACAAATGACAATGTGAAGTCCACTGTTAGACGTCCAGTACAGATATAAAAAAAAAAATCTCTACTCCCAACATGGGGCTCAAACTCACAACCCTAAGATGAAGAGTCGTAGACTCTACCAACAGAGTCTGCCAGGCGACCCATACATCTAATACAGATTTAATGGAGAAAAATCTATCTCAATTTTACTAAAGGGCTGATGTAGTAGAATACTTGAGACACTGCGTTATTTTCATTCTTCCAGTATAATTCTTTTCAAAGAAAAGATCCAAGTATGTTTAAGATGTGACAAAAATACATTATAGACTTACTTTCTTGCCTCCACTCTGGCTTCAGCATCAGCATCATGAATCCCCTTCTTAATAGTTTCAACCAAGACAGCTGCATGTCTATTAAAACAAAACATATTACTTTTTTTAAGATTTTGTTATTTTTAAGCAATCCCTACACTCAACAAAGGGCTCGAACTCACAACCCTGAGATCAAGAGTCGCATGTTCCACCGATTCAGCCAACCAGGTGCCCCAAACACCTTTAGATTCATGAGTAAAACTATATTTCACCACAAATCATACTGCCTAAATGTTACAAATTAATCACAAAGGGGCAGGGGAGGTAAAAAGATTAATTAGTGCATAATAATCTAAGATTGTAAGAGTTTCTGATAATCTAATAGTAACCCCACATATTTCATTCATGGATGGTTTCCTCCTGACAAGTCAAATATTAAAAACTTGAATATAATTATTTTTATAGAGTCCCAATAACGTATAAATGTATAGTGCTTAAATTTTAAATTCTTAATGAATAAAAAAAAACCCTTTGGTGTGGTTCTCACTAACCCACCAATGTAGAAAATAATCTGCTAATAGTATGATCAGTTATGATCTGGACCAAGCTAAATAGTAGTTGCCAAAAAGAACTTAAAGGAAACTTAGAATTATATCATGCCTACACGAAACAAACTTATTAAAAAAAAAAAAAAAAAAAAAAAAAAAAAAAAAAAAGGCTGTGAATAGGTTCTTACAATTTCCATGTAAATGCAGGTATACGCCAAACTTCAAACTTGAAATTGTACTGTGCAAATAGCCAACTAGCTAGCTGGCTGCCTACATTTTTCTCTTGTTCATCTCAGAGCTGCATGAGATACTGCCCAGTATATACCTTACCAATGATACTGGACAGCTGGTATGGAGAAACTTTCCAATGAATCTCTCTCTTCTTAAAATCTTTCTCCTCTGAAAAGAAGTGCCTTCCTTCTATCTTAAATCATTCATTACTTGATTAATTATACTTCAGGAAACCTAGGTCACTTGTCTGGAGATACATTTTAAAATTTCTGTCCAATTTAACCTGCAGTATCTTATTTAATCCATCCTACTTGAGAGATCCTCATTCACCCCATAAGTAAAGAAGAAAATCATAGCTGCACCAAGTAAGAGGAACCAGACTACATTACAGCTTTAAAGGAAAACCAGTATAAATAGCTTTTAAGCAAAAGGAGAAATAATGCAAAACCAATACCATCAACTTCTAAAGAACTGGTGATAATGGGAAGGAGAGGGAAGCAGGAAAGGAAGAGTTAATACATACCTTTCCAGTGAATGAGTCTGCCACTCTTGTAACAATAAATCTAAAAATTCAAATGAGCGCCTGAAAAATAAGTTAATTATAACTAAATGTTATAACACTATGTTACGTTATGTTTATTTAAAACTAATTGTTAATTAACACTTTCTTCTACTGTACTTTGTTCTCTGAATTAAAGTACAAGGGGGGGCGCCTGGGTGACTCAGTCAGTTGAGTGTCCGACTTCGGCTCCGGTCATGATCTCACAGTTTGTGAGTCTGAGCCCCGCGTCGGGCTCTGTGCTGACAGCTCGGAGCCTGGAGCCTGCTTTGGATTCTGTGTCTCCCTCTCTCTCTGACCCTCCCCCACTCACGCTCTGTCTCTCTCAAGAATAAATAAACATTAAAAAAAAATTTTTTTTTTTAATTTAAAGTACGAGATATTTTTAGGTTATCTTTTTTTTTTTTTTTTTTAAGGTTTATTTCTTTATTTTGAGAGAGAGAGAGAAGAAGCGCAAGCAGGGAAAGGGCAGAGAAGGAAACGGAGAATCTCAAGCAGGCTCTATGCTGTCAGGGCAGAGCCCTACGCAGGGTTAAATCCCACGATCCCTGAAAGCATGACCTGAGCTGAAATCAACCGTCACGCACTTCATCAACCGAGCCACCCGGGTACCCCATGTTCTTAGTTACTGTAACTTTTCAAATACTTAACTACTTTAAGGCTCCAACTACTCCTATGCTACACAGTTCAAAAAAACCTTCAGGGTTCCCCATGATTTTAACTTAAAATGTGTGTCAATTATAAAACTTAATACTATTTCATTTTAAAAAATACTTATCGAGCACCTACTATGCACTAGAAATTGAAGACATACAAAGGTGACCAAGAAAGATGGAACGGATCTTCCATTTCCACATCTGTTTTCTTTTTTTAAAAATTTTTTTTCCAACGTTTTTATTTATTTTTGGGACAGAGAGAGACAGAGCATGAACGGGGGAGGGGCAGAGAGAGAGGGAGACACAGAATCGGAAACAGGCTCCAGGCTCCGAGCCATCAGCCCAGAGCCTGACGTGGGGCTCGAACTCACGGACCACGAGATCGTGACCTGGCTGAAGCCGGACGCTTAACCGACTGCGCCACCCAGGCGCCCCACCACATCTGTTTTCTTAACCATGCATACACGTAATTTTTAATCAAGTGTCTGTATATTTCCTCCTATACCCTCTCGTTCTCAACTCCTTCAACTGTCTCACTCTTGAGCTTCTCTTTCTTGGCATCTGATGACACAGTTCTCCCCTATTTTTCTTCTTTTATTAACACTTTTCCTCCACCTTCCCTTAAATAAGTTTCACCTGGTTGGCACTCTTTGTAACCCACCTGTCTCGTAGCCTTTACTTGGGAAACATCACCTGAATCGTCTACACCCTTAGCTCTGACTATCGGCTCTGCTGCTCACATCTAGTCCTTTACCTCCAGCACTGGTTCTTTCATTCGGCCGTGAAGTCAAAGTTTCTACCAGCTCGCGGACATCTCTACACTGGCAGAGACTGTCAACTCAAACACTATGTATGAAAGAACAAATTAATTCTTACCCTCTCAAATCCGTTCTTTTAGCCCATACTGTATAGTTTAGAAAATGTTAAGTTAACTTGCCCAAAGTGATAGGACCTAAACCCTGGCATTCTGACTGCAGAACTCCCAGTGTGAAGCATCTGATCTATATCCAATGATCAAGTTCTCATTTCTATACCCTTAAATCCCTTGGATTTATTTACTGAATAAAATCTGTAATCAGTGATCACCAATACAGCTTACTTCAGACCCTGCCCCTCTTACATGAGCTACAAGAACAATAATTCCTACTTAATTAAACCAATATTTCTCATTGCCCCCTTTTTTAAAAGTATATTTATTTATTTTGAGAAAGAGGGAGAGTACAAAGGGGGTGGGCCAAAGAGAGAGGGAGAGAGAGAGAGAAATCCCAAGCAGGCTCTGCACTGACAGCATGGAGCCCGACGTGGGGCTCGAACTCACGAACCGTGAGATCACGACCTGAGCCAAAAGCAAGAGTTGTATGCTCAGCTGACTGAGCCCCCCAGGCGCCCCCTCACTGTCCCTTTTTAATCACCGGTCACAGCTGAAATAAGAAGATGGATGACATTACCTCCTCACCAAAAACTGTCCGAGTATGAAGCAATGTCGAAGTTTCTCTTCGTAGACGTTCACGGCCCTCCACGCCGACCTTAAGCTACTCCTGGCCTCCCTCCCCCACTCGCATCAGCCTCTTTTCCTGCTGTAACCTTCCGTTTATCACGTGTTCTGGCCTCCGTGGCCGGTCTGCTGGCTCTGCACCGCTCAGAAGCTTTACATCTCTGCCTAGGCAACACCCGCGCAATTCCCCGACAGGTACTCGATTGCTTCCCATGTTCAAGGCATTTGCGTTTTAAATTAAAACCTTGATTAACGTTTATTTCTGAGAGAGAGAGAGAAACACACAGTGCAAGCAGGAGTTGGGGAACCGAGAGGGAGGGAGGGAGACACAGAACCGGAAGTAGGCTCCAGGCTCTGAGGCGTCAGCACAGAGCCCGACGCGGGGCTTGAACTCACGGACCGCGGGATCACGAACTGAGCCGAAGTCTGACGTTCACCTAAACGACTGAGCCACCCAGACACCCCTCAAGGCAGTCTCATGACGCGTTTCCTGACTCCCTCTTCTCTGTTACATTCGTATTTCTCTAGCTACCGCTTTCCTCGGTGTTAAGACAGAGACTGGCAAACCTCTTCGGTAAAGGGCCAGGCACGGAGATTTTAGGCCTTGTGAACCACAAACAGTCTCTACCTCGTACTTTTCTTCTTTCTCCCTTTATAACCACCCTTCAAAAATGAAAGAAATAGTCTTTGCTTGCAGACTGCATCAGACTAGACTGTTGGCCGGATTTGACCAGCGACCTGTCATTTGCTGACCCTGGACATAAGAGACAGGTGACAGGACACTTGTCACCAAAACTCTGAACCACTTAAAGGCAGTAATACCTCTTTCGGCTTCTTCCTAGCAAAGTACTTAAATACGTATATTTATCAAGTAAAAAAAAAAGAGATTCTTTACAATTTTCTTTGTTTTGTTACTCACGCAATAATGACCGAAGGAGTAAGAACAGATTTTATAAGCATATAGGAACAGAGGTAATATCAAACATGATCAGATAGGACTATAGTTTAAATTGTTTTGAACTAAACACCCTTCACTGCAAATATAAAAATGTAGTTTGATTTTCTTATATCTGCTGTCTTGCAAAAATTGTTTGAGATGGTTTTTGAATAAAATAAATCAAACCAACAAAATTTTAAAGCACTTAAGAAATTGAGATCGGGAAAAGAATATGAATTCAAAACAGATGGGTACATGCATCATACTAGCATATAAAATATGGTACTTAAAAATGTCTTTAAAGTCATTTCTAAAGTTTATTTTTAATCGCAGTTGACATACAATATTATATTAGTTTCAGGCATACAAGCTAGTGATGTGACATCACAAAATGCTCACGATAGTTATCACCTGTCACCATACAAAGGTAAACAATATCATGATTATGTTCTCTACGTTGTACTTGACATCCCTGTGACTTATTTAAAGTTCAAGTTGGTACCTCTTAATCCCTTTCAATCTATTTTGCCCATCTCCCTCCCCTCTGGCAACCATTAATTAGTTTTCTGTATTTATGAATGTTTGTTCATTTGTTTTGTTCTTAGGTTCCACATGTAAGCGAAATCACATAGTATGATTCTTCAATTTTTTCTGTAGTATCTATATATTTATGTATTTATTTCTGCATTTAAGTTAAGTAAGTAAGTAATCTCTATACTCAACATGGGGCTCAAACTCACGCCCGAGATCAAGAGACACGTGCCCTTCTGACTAAGCCAGCCAGGCGCCCCTGACTCTTCACAATTTTCTTAAACATCAAATGTACAAATCTTGTTTTTGTTGTCTTTAGTATTGATGGTGATCCCGATGGTATTAAAACCAGCAGAAATCACAAGACAGAGAAAGACTGACAGGCTGACCTGGTGTGGCTGTTTATTCTGTCCCAAACACTATAATGAATTCTACTCATGTGGATCTGCCTCATTTAATCCTCACGATGGCATGGGGTCGATATCATCAGCGGTACTAACATACACACACACTGATGTGCAGAGCAGTGTAAACTGCCCAAGTAGAACAGTCAAGTGGCAGTTGCGGGACTCTAGCAAAGGCCTGATGCCAGACTCCATTCTCTCTGAAAATGAGGCAACGAGTGGCCCAAAGAAACCAAAGCTTAAAAGGAGAAATCTGGAAAACACGGGTGGTTGTAACGGTCATTTCTTTTTCCTTGTAGGACACGAGATGAAAAAGTTTACTAAGGTTTCTAGAAGGTAAGAAATTTGTGACAACTAAATTTTGCACCAGAATTAAGAATTTAACATAATATAAAACTATACTAAATTAGTTTTTTCTCAAAACTTACCTCCTTACAGGAACTGATTTTGATGTGCAATTGCTTGTGATTAAAGGTATAAGTCTGGGTACATGAGTATGCTGAAAAAGATGTTTTAGAAAAGGTTGAGAAATATAGTCCGCTTCACATAATCTCTTCTATTTGCCTTACACCCAAGTATTTAGATATATTAGAACAGAACAAAAAGACCATAAAATGAGATCTGGAAAGAAATCAAACCTGTCAAACAGTTTCCCCCACTTAAATAACAGTAATGATGATATAGTTTCAGAAGGCCAGGTGTGGCTGTAATGCTACCTAAGAGAAGTTAATTGTGTAACTGCAAAGAACTGTTGGGGCAGTGTGTTTGGGGGCGGGAGCCCTAGCAGGACTGGGCTTGCATCTGTCAAACTCTCTGAAGTGCCACAGCTACGGCCGGTGGAAGAGAATAATTAGTAGGCCATCAAAGCGAGTAACCAGAGCGAGCCTGCAACCCTACCTGCTGGGAATGCACTTGGAAATGGTGATTTTATTTTTTTTAAGTTTTTTTTTTTTTAACGTTTATTTATTTTTGAGACAGAGAGACACAGAGCATGAACGGGGGAGGGGCAGAGAGAAAGGGGGACACAGAATCGGAAGCAGGCTCCAGGCTCTGAGCCATCAGCCCAGAGCCCGACGCGGGGCTCGAACTCACGGACCGCGAGATCGTGACCCGGGCTGAAGTCGGACGCTTAACCGACTGAGCCACCCAGGCGCCCCAGGAAATGGTGATTTTAATGGAAGTCTCACTGTGGCTAAACCACAGCTGTCTAGAATTCAGGTAAAGTTCAACAGATATAATCTTTTGATTTCTATTAATTTTACATTCCTCTAGTGAAGTAAACACTAAAAAGTGCACAATAGACAGAAGGAAAAAATAGTAACCTAAGCATACATAGTTGATGCTTCACATACCCTATTTTTTCTTCTGAGCTAATGGTACAGGCCAGATACCTAGGAAACCAGCTCTGAGATGAAGTCTAGCATGTGGGATACTCCCAAGTGCCCTTGGGATCAACACCTGTGGAAGGAGGGCAAAGGAGGCAGGGGTGGGCGGAGGAAGAAACCCATCTGTGATTGGGCCTTAGGATCTCTTCGCTAAAAGCCATTAGGGAGCTCTGGAGTTAAAATGGCCCTTCAGAGCAGGTCGAATTGGTTCCGAATGGCCCCAACGTCAACTTCCACATCAATCAGTTGTTGCGTGTGGGCCATAATGGGAAGGGGCAAGACCCTGGGGAACGCAGCTCTCTGCAGCTAAAGACTTTCTGCCAAAAGTGCTTTCGGTACTGGAAAAACAAGTCTTTCACGGAAGAGGAGTGTGTGTGGCACATCTGTGAGCTAGAGTGAACTCAACCAAAAGAGCCAACTTTGTTCAGCTGCTTCAGAGGGAGGCTACCTACAGACCTGAAGCTGCTCCAATGAGAAGTGCACAAGAGAGTGCTGACCTGTGGGCTACTGAACTTACACTCCGCACAGAAGGGCTCTGTGGACTTGCTCCCTACAGCGCCCAGAAGCACCTATTCCCAAACACTGCCACAGACCTCGAGCCCACGGAGACTCTCCAGCCACAACACACTGCGTAGGTCTTCCCTACCTTCCTTTTCTTCCCTTCGTAACCTCCCCAAACCCAACTGCTGATGAACACGCATTCAACACAGTGGCACGTATGGAGAGATACACTGACCTAACTATTGTTATGTCACATTCAGGGAGAGCTGTACCCAAGGAAAATAAAAAGTGAACGTTACAATTACAGATGAAGCGTTCAAACACCAAGTCGGACAATTTAGGTTTTAGTTTATGAATGCAAGTTGACAACCGAAAAATAAAAACCTTCTTTAGAATTAAAAAAAGAATGAGAAGTCAAAGACAGCAATCTAAGGAAGGAGTCTTCTGGGAGACCAACAAAATACAGAAAATAGGAAATAACATAAAACAACAAAACCACCTGATTTGTATTTTCAGTGAGATGACAGGATAGTGTATCAATAACATTAAACAAGCTTATGAAAAATAAGAAGTTTGAAAACAATGTATGATGTATAAGGCCTCAGAATGGCAGCATGGGTATTGTCACATAAGTAGAATTTAAAGGAATTTTTCTTGAGAACATACACCTGTAAGGCAAAAAACAAAAAAATTATCCAAGAAATGATAAATGATACTGAAGGTTCCAAAACTGTGTAACAAGAGTAACAGGGAAAAACAAAACAAAACAAAACAAAACACAAACCCAAAAACCTAGCAAAGAAAACAGAAGCAATAAATAAATGATCCACAAAAATTAATACAACTTAAGGAAAATTCACCTTCATCAGAAACTCTTACACACTGTGGAAGGAAAGCACTAGTGAAGTTGGAAGGCCCTGCTGCAGGAAAACTCCTAACACCTGGAAAGCTTCCGCAAGTTTTTATTTTTGTTTTTCTAGTAAAGAAACAAGTGGGATCTCAGTTCTTAGAGACACGATAAAAAGTTAAGATAATTCTGCATGGAAGGTAAATAATTCTGAGAAAAAAGGAATATGAACCTGAAGTCCAACTTTTTAGCTCTGTTAGGGTAAAGAAAAGTCATTTTAAAATATGCAAAAGTAAATATACATGAGAATTGAGAACACACTAAACCAAACAGAAATTAGTCAGAACTACTTAAAAAAATGGGTGGGAAGAGCCAATGGCCAGGCGAGAAAGAAGTAAAAAAAACTACAATTTCCAACTGCTGCACATGAAAATGTTTTTATTCAATTTAACGTTTGAGGGGAAAATGACATGAATTAGACAAAAGGTAGTCTTTTTAAAAGGTGGGGGAAGCAAAACAGGTTCTATTCCTGACACTGATAAAGAATAAGGAACTTCTAAGAAAATAAGAAACAGGTAAGAAAAAGCACAATGAACAGAAAACAGAAATTACAGGAAGAAATGCTATTTCAAAATGGTAATAGTAAAAAACTTTGACCATACATAAAATAAAGTAAGAACTGTTAGGAAACTGAAATTGACAAAAAACAGAATCAGAATTTTTTAGATAAATTACCTTTTTAAAAAATGAGACCATGAAGAATTGGAATAATAGAAAATATCAAGTTGGATTTAGAGATGAACAAAGTACTTCATAAACAAATTCCGTAGTTTGCAAGTACTAAAAGACTACCTATATAAATTTATGATGTACTGCGACACAAATAAAATTTAAGGCATTCACTGAAGAAACCGTGTAATCAAATTCTCTAGTTAGAAGGTAATGAAATTATAAACTAAGGACAAGAGCAACAAAAGAACCATCTGAAAACCAAGTATCCTTAGGTAACTCAAAGAGGATGTTGAAATGAAAATTACAAGTGATAAAGAAATAGAAAGAGGATGTGGTAACTCCAAATGATTCATGCCAAAATCCAAGAAAACCTACGGCCTTATAATATTACAAAACAAAAACTGTAACAAATTATCTAAGGACATACTACAAAGATCTAAGGGGGGAAAAGGAGCCAAAGCAGGCCAAAGAAAGGAATTAAGAAACTTATAGGAACTAAAAAGTTAGAAAAAACTGAAGAACATCGCTGGAACCAACAAAACTAAAATTTGAGGCTTATAAAAGAAACAATGCCTCTGGCAAGTTAAAAAAGAAAAAAAAAAGAAAATTAGTATTAAAACAAGAAAAAATGGTACAGAACCACAGCGCTACAGAGGCATTATTTTTTTAACTTAAGAGAAGGCAGTATACCACCTCGTGCTGAAGATTCTTAAACTCTATATGAAAAGAATATTGTAAGAAAATACAAGTAACCAACGATTCAAAGTGAAATGCAAAAGGGCCCAGGGTCTAAAACATTTGAAAAATTATTATAGAACTTCCAAGGTCAGCAAGCCCTCACAACAGAATAATGTAATAATAAAATATATAAAGTAAGAAAAGTACAGGAAATTCTAAAAGGACTCCTATATTAAAATGAATGCCAAAATCTGAAGTATTAGCCAAATGAATCCAGCAGTATTGTTAACAAACAACGGCCAAGCAGAATCCAGTTCAATGAATGTCCAATGGATAACTAAAAAGAGAACCATTTCTAAAGATATTACACAGATAGCTAAGATTTCACATCTATTCCTGATCAAAATTTAGCAAAATACGAACAGAAGTAAGTTCCCCTAACCTAATATAGAGTATCCAAAGAAATCTGCACCAAACATCATATTTAAAGTACTCCCATTAGACTCAAGACAAAACAAAGACCTCAATAATTTCTGTTATTTTTCTGGATTTAGAGAACCTTAAAAAAATATTAAAACAGAAAAAACGGACCATCTTCAAAGATAAATTCATAGCTTTTTAAATAGCCATTTGATTTTACCGCTGAAAAAACCTTCTGGTGCAGCAACATCAGAAAGAAATTTCATTCCTTTAATAGGAAAGAATAAACTGACCAAAGAAACTGAATAGGAGCTCAGGAAACAAACCCATACACTTAATGGAAATTTACTATATGAAAATGCTGCCGTTGCAACAAAGACTGAATTATACATGCCACTGAGTCAACTCATTTTGTATTTGGGGGGAAAATCATGTTAGATATCTGTATTTCACACAGAAACAAAATCCAGTTAGATTTAAACATAACAAACAAAATTATAAAAATGTTAAACTGGATATTTTTATAATTGTGAAATAGGGAAAGTCACTTTATAACAAAAACCACAAAAGGAACATTGTCTCAATACATAAAAATTTAAAGGTTCTCTATATAACAAACAATAGTTTAAACAACAATTTGAAGAACTGACAGACCGGTAGAAAACAGTACCTGCGACATATGTAAAACATATGTAACACAGAATCAATATACTTATGATATATAAAAAAGACCTTAGAAATCAGTGAGGAGAAACTGTACCAAGAGTATAAACTGGGCAATCCATAGAAGAATTCTGAAAGGAAAAAAAAAGTAGCCAATGTCTCTAATAAACTAAGAAATGCAAAGTACAGAATATGAAATAATATTCCATGTATTAAATTATAAGACCTGTAAGTGACTGATAATACACAATATTGGTAAAGGATGGAAAGAAAGGACTCCATAAAGAGGACTTAATGTCAATGCCTTTTAACAGAGAACCAATCTAGATGTTAAGAATTAAACGTACAGACAAGAGAAGGTGCCCAAGTTCGTGAAGTTGAAAAAAACCAAGTGAGAAAGTATTATTTGAATATAGGTAAAATATAAACATTAGGTTTATATTTTGTAATAAATACTGTTTGTATAGGCATAGAACAGACGTTTGCAAAAGTATATACTGAATGGCTAGACTGATTAATGGTAGAAGAGAATTCAAGAGGGGAGATTTATTTTTTGTAACTGTTCTTTTGGGGGCACCTTCAAGATATTGAAGGTGAGAAATATTAAGAATTTGCCTATCATACCACTGCCTGTAACAGTTTTACTGTTTGATATCTGCCCGTTACCACCTGTAACGTAATTACACATACACCTAAGTACATGCACACGTGTATATCACATTCTGTATGCAAGCGTATTTACTTCAAAATCTTCTGTATTATTTAAATGTTCTATATAACTGTAATAAGCGTGTACTGCTTTTACTTCATAAATCAGTGCGTAAATAAGTAAATAAATAAAAATGCCGATGACTTAATTAAGTATGTTGAAAAAGAGGGAGGGGAGGAGAGAGGAAGACAGAAGAACCTACCCGAATGATGAACCTGATAGCCGCACATCCAGAAGTTGCCATGACTTTTGCACTATTGGGGACGAGATTAAAAAGCGTAGGTACAATGGCTTCAGCGCCATGATCGAACTTGTTTCCCAAAACTGCTGAAAGATGTCTACAAAGGAAGACCAAAGAATGTTGTTCTGTTTTTAAGTTAATGGTTAAGTATAGGTAGAATCAGATACTTTAAAAATATTCTCATTGAATTAACTTAAAATTTTTATCTTAAACAGTTCGAACGGCAGAAAAGCAAAAGAGGAAGGGAAGTGCAGATATTACCCGTTTCCCTCTTCCCCCCCTTTCAACTGTCCAGTCCAAAGCCGAAACTGGCATTTTACGCTCTCTTTACAATGGCAAAGAGAAGCCATCTGATCTCAGAATTTAGCCACTATCTTGACAGGTAAAAACATTCAGCCCTGATTGCCCTGACCTCTATTAGTCTTCATCCATCAAGCATTTCTATTCTGACGCTCCGACATCGATCTTAAATTCAACGTATGTTCAAAATCTTACGCAAATCACTGCTCCTCAAGGCAGCCACTATTTCTATTAATGGTACTACCACTATTTTAGTCAGCAATACTCCACCTTTGGGGTAGGGTTTCAGAATTTCTGACTGAAAATACACCTCTACTACACGCTAGTTAGCTGGGTGACCCAAAGGACGTCCGTCTTCTCTTTCCAATCCTGCAGTTAAACAACGAAATTCAGTCTTTAATTGCGTGATTTAGTTAGGACACTTAGAAAGGATGTTGTAATCATGCACACTTCTCACAATGCTTGCAGTATTGGTTCTGTTCTATGTATCTTATTTAAAATACACTGTTGGGATACAGTTAGCTCCAAAACCTCAGGCTCTTGATTCAAAGAGGAAGTCTGACTCAGGCTTATTTACTAGTGTTCAGTTATACTTTCAGTTTTCGAATGTCTAGACTCGTGGGCAAAAAGGAACCTCAAACCAGAAGCAAGCAAACAGATAGTGTGGTCGTCCTTTAAAAAGGGAGTTTTGTTCCGGTAGGCAGGTGAGGCACTTGGGAATCAGTGTGATCTTTATCAGTCTATTGGAAGGAGCCTTGTTTTGGAACTGCTTTAGTGCCATCCCCATACAACGGCCTCTCTGGGACCTCTACCGAATGTCCTGGGTGTTCAACTGGGTTTCTGCATCCTACTCCTCGGAACTTGAATCTCTCCAGCCCACATGAGCTCTGGGAGCTGTTGTTTACCTTCTAGCTCCCAGTAACAGTTCTTTCGCAACCTCAGGGAGCTGCACCTTTCACACGCACAGATCAGTATTAGGCTAGACTCATGGGATACACCTGACGCAGCGCCATCTCTACAGCTCTTTTCCGTTTCTCTCCCTACTCTCCCGGATTCTGCATCGCAAATGGTAACCACTACAGCCTTCCGCAACTCCAGTCTGTTTCTTCTTCAACTCGATGGAACTGTCTTGCTCTGCTTGGTTTCCTTCTTCCTTCTCCAAGGTCCAGAAAGTGTCTCTTGGTCACACTGTGCTGATCATACTGCTCAACTGATTGGGTTCTTTCCAGAATCAGAGTCCTGCTCTGTCCACTGTCCACCATCTATGAGCAGCTGTTCTACACGTTTTATCCACTTTCTTGCAGGACAGCCAGTCCTGTACCAGCTCTGTTGCATCATCAGCTAGAAGCAGAACTCTCGCCATGAAATATTTTTCAAGGTTCTATTTTGTAGATTTTTGTTTTCCTTTTTATTATTGCTTTTTAGAGACGCTCAGTTATTTTGTACATTGACTTGCATCTGGCATCTTGCTGTCGTCCTTTAATTATGATAATTTACCTATATATTCTTGTAGTTTTCTGCATGGATAATTGTATCATCTGTTAATAATGTCAGTTTTGTTCCTTTTCTAGCAATCCTCATAGTTTTTATTTCCTGGGCTTTTTCCTCCACTGCTGTGACCAGGACAGGATTCTGATTAGAAATATTAATAGTAGACATCTTTGTGTTCCCTATCTTCAAAGGAATGTTTAGACAACAGCAGTACTCATATCAGAAGTAGAGGTAAAAGAAATATAAGTGTCATAGATACTAGAATTTTGGGAGAATATTAACATACGGAATAAACTTAGATATTGATAAGCTAATGACACACGCTGCAATTCCAGAATAATTGCTAAAATTTCAGAACTGGAAATCCAAATCAGTTACTATCCAAATCAGCAAAGAGAAAACTGAATAGTTCTCAGACCCATTCATTTTCTTCTTACGCACTCAGTGATCAAAAATGAACCGGTGGGCTTTAGATATATAAGCACATTTTAACGTTTTTGTTAAGAAAGATTAAAAAAGAAAGGAAAGGAAAGGAAAGGAAAGGAAAGGAAAGGAAAGGAAAGGAAAGGAAAGGAAAGGAAAGGAAAGAAGGAAGGAAGGAAGGAAGGAAGGAAGGAAGGAAGGAAGGAAGGAAGAAAGAAAGAAAGAAAGAAAGAAAGAAAGAAAGAAAGAAAGAAAGAAAGAAAAAGAAAAAGAAATCACACAAACTGAATCCTTATTTATAATAAAAATTATTTTTGGATCACATACATGCTGTTTTTGGGTTATCCTGCTACTGCTTTACTTAATGAGCACTGAGTCACTGAGTACTAAATTTACTCATAAAAAATACAAATCCAAAAAGAACATACTTACGCTACAGTAATGCAAGCTTCTCTAACCACTTGGGATCTAAGATCCTTTGCTGAAAGTTTAAGCGCTCCATCCAACAAGCGTAAATGTTGGAAGAAGCAGTCATATTGTGCAGCTCCAGCAACAAGCAATGATCGAATTTTCTTAAGCTAAAGTAAAGAGAATTTTCATTATTGACATAAACAGTGTCAGTGCAAAAAAGAAAAAAAAAGTTACCAAAACTTCATTATTTAAACAAAATTTAAAAAATAACATTTCAGTATATTTGTATGACTACATTCAGACCTTTTACCAGCATTATATGTATTTTATAAACATGCAAACCACAAAAAGCTTTCTGGAAAAGAACATTATATATAGATTTAGTTATATACATAATGGGCATACATGATGCACGAATAGGTAAGTAAATCTTAAAGTTTTAAGGGAGTCTTTTTATTGTGTAAAATACACATTAACATAAAATTATTTCAAACATTTTAAAGCATACAATTCAGTGGCATTAAGTACAGTCAAAACGGGAAACCATCACCACTATCTCCAAGGAGATTATTTTTAAAAGAGCCAGATTTGCAAACTGCACTCACCCATAAGCAAAAGTGCAGAATCCAATGGACCAACTACTGTGCCAGCTTCGTATTTTAATACGGTCACAGGTACTTTGTGAAATAAATAGCTCTTTCTCCCTATTTCTAACCTTTAGCATGACTTTTTAATACAGGATTGACAAATGTGTTCCATGTTAGCACCCGACATACCTAATAAAATCACATAATCAAAACATACCCACCGGTGCACATCTGTGCTCACACATAATGAGAAGCTAAAAGTTTACCCATCATCTCCATTATGTATAATTTCACAGTAAACTCTGAGGTTCTCTAAAATTCTAAGAGATCTTTATAAATCAGACGGGTTAACAATGAAAACGATACAAAAGATACTATAATAGTACGAAAAAATCTGAAAGAATAGTTACGTAATCTTAAAGCACATAATGAAGGGAAACTATCATTGAAGTCAGAAGACACCTAAGCAAGAGTAACTAAAAACAAAAATCACAATACGGTAGGAAAAAATTACTTGTAACACAGGAGTACAATACACAAAGAATGACAATAAAGTGAGACAAAGACAAATAACCCAATATTAAATTGAGCCAAATAAATACATGAAAATGTGTTCACCCTTACTAGAGATAAGCAAATGCTAATTACAATAAAGACACTTCATTTTTCTTCATCAGACTAGCAAAACTTAAAGACTTCACTGCATCCAGTATGAGAAAGAAAACAGACGCTCTTATTGTAAGGAAGATTACGAGCTACTGACACCTTTGTTCAAAACATTCTGGCAATATCTACTAAAATAAAATTGTATCTATTCTTTACCCAACAACCTCACTTTAAAAAATTTAGCCTACAAAAATAGAAACACCAGTGTTATAAATGTGTTTAAGGATGTTTATTGCAATGCTGTCAAAATAGCAAAAAAGAAAAAGCAACTGTTAAGTGCGCCGAATGGGAAATGGTTTAGTAAATTACATGGTATCTTTCAACTAAGGAATATATGTACATATTGATCTGCGTTCAATAAATATCTGAGCAACTATTATATGCTTGGCACCTATAGCAAATGTACTGAATGGGCACAATTTATGAAAGTGAATGAAAATAAGTTATTAAGTAACATATCTAGTATGATCTCTATTTTTATAAAAGGAGTGGGGGGAGCTGTTTATTTTATCATACACATACAGAGAAGAGGGTATACTCCAAAATGAAAACATTTGTTTCCCTAATACGAAGTAAACTATTAACTTTTTCCTTATAAAACTTCTGTACTGTTTCACTTACTAAAATGAGCCTATGTCACTTTTCTAATTAAAAAAATTAGGGGCTCCTGGGTGGCTCAGTCGGTTAAGCCTCCGACTTCGGCTCAGGTCATGATCTTGCGGTTTGTGGGTTCGAGCCCCGCGTCGGGCTCTGTGCTGACAGCTCGGAGCCTGGAGCCTGCTTGGGATTCTGTGTCTCCCTCTCTCTCTGCCCCTCCCCTGCTCGCGCTGTCTCTCTCTCTTTCAAAAATAAACAAACATTACAAAAAAACTTTTTTTTTAAATTAAAAGACCATCTATATGTTTCCAAAAGGGTTGTTTCAAAGTAAAAGAAAAACACTCATTTTTTAAAAAGTAATCTCACCCAAAGCGGGGCTTGAACTCACAACTCCTGGGACTCCCGACCCCAAGGATTAAGCATTGTATGCTCCAATGACTGAGCCAGCCAGGCACCCCAACAGGAAACTCTTAAGTACCAAGTTTGTGTTTTATATTGACAACATTTAATTTGTCCTGTTTCTCCACAGATCCCCTATGATACAGGTCGTCCTGTCTCATACTAATCTCAGAGCTGAAGACAGAGTAATGAGCCATATTTAACAAAGATGGGACACATTTTTTGTTAAACTACTTTAATAGTTTAAAATATGTAAACTTCCTATTAAAGAGAAGCTAACATTCTTTTGTTTGTAGCATCATAAAGGCCAATTTTCAGAAAGCCATATGCGATTTATTAACGAAAGTGGAGGCTGAGAACAGGCTGCTCTCCAAGTGGAAGACTTCAGATGGAACCCTTTCTCTGGCTTTTTGGGGGTACTGAGGTACTTATTTGGAATCTCAGATGTAAGTCTGACAAATTTACAAATTTTAACATATACAGTCCTTTGTCAATGTAGATGTTATTTTAAAAATATTTATCAAATATGTTATCAAGGAATTTAGGCTAAATAAAATATTCTTTTTCAAAATTAGATTTATTTATTTACTAAAAAAAAATTTTTTTTTTTAACATTTATTCACCTTTGAGAGACAGGGAGTGAGCAGGGGAGGGGCAGAAAGACAGAGAGAGAGAAAGAGAGAGAGAGAGAGAGAGAGAGAGAGAGAAAGAAAGCGAGAGAGAGAGAGAAAGAGAGAGAGAGAGAGAAAGAGAGAGAGAGAGACACAGAATCTGAAGCAGGCTCCAGGTTCCAAGCTGTCAGCACAGAGCCTGACGTGGGGCTTGAACCCTCGAACCGTGAGACCATGACCTGAGCTGAAGTTGGACGCTTAACCAACTGAGCCACCCAGGCGCCCCTAGGTTTATTTATTTATTTTGAGAGAGAGAGAGAGAGAGAGAGAGAGAGAGAGAGAGAGAGAGAGAGAGAGAGAGAGAGAGAGAGAGAGAGAGAGAGAGAGAGAGAGAGACAGAGAGAGAATGCATGCAAGTGGGGAAGGGGCAGAGAGAGAGGGAGACAGAGACTCCCAAGCAGGCTCCAAGCTGCCAGCGCAGAGCCTGACGCGGGGCTTGAACCCATGTACCGTGAGATCATGACTCGAGCCGAAATCAAGAGTTGGATACTTAACTGACCGAGCCACCTAGGTGCCCCCTAAATAAAATATTCTTTTAAAAAAGTTTTTTAAAAATATTTATTTTTGAGAGAGAGATAGAATACAGTGGGGGAGGAGCAGAGAGAGAGGGAGACACAGAAACCCTTCGAAGCAGACTCCAGGCTCTGAGCCGTCAGCACAGAGCCCGACGTGGGGCTCGAACCCACAAACCGTGAGATCATGACCTGAGCTGAAGTCCAGCTTAGCCGACTGAACCACCAGGCTCCCCTAAATAAAATATTCTTAAGCATATGAGACTTTTTTCTTTTCAAATCATGGGCGAAAAATATTTATTGTACTCAGAGAGATGTATACGAGGAAAGAAAGCAAGCCAGACACACATACTGTCATCGATTTGTCAATACTATGTGACTATCGAGCATGCAGGCAAAGCGACCTGCTTTTCTGGAAGCCCTTCTACGAGCTGAGGACACTGCTGAGGAACAACTACGTTCGTCACAGCCCACAGAGCCACTGCCCTGGGACATCAGCGAAGCTCACATTTTCCTGGTCAGACAAGAGGTGGCACATGGAGAGAGACAAACAAATGTGTGAGTCAGGCTCCACTGCACTGATCAGCACGAACAATGAAAACTAACCCTACCTAAGCGAATTCCGATCACCTCAAAGTATTTTCCAGAAAGAAATGTTAGCTATCAAACTCTCTCTTTCATAAGCAAATACTATGTAGTAATATTGCCCAATGTCCATGTCTTTGGAACAGTGAAAAAAAGAGGAAAGGGGTCAGAAAACAAAAAATAAAACTTACTGCATTGGCACGCTGATCCCAGTCATGTTTGTCATCTGACAATATTTCCCTGATTTTATTTAATGTTTCTTCAAGTTCTCGACTAGAATAGATCTTAAAGATACAAAAGTATACCATTAATATTTCTTGTCATTCAGCAAAATCAAAACTGTGCCCCGATATTTACAATAATCTTTCAAGTAATAAGATTAATTCTCATTCTAGTACCATTTTATTTTTAAATAAAATGCTATGTAATTTATTTTGTATGGCAGTACTTAGCAGCAGTGTTACTGCTCCCATCTTATTTAATTTACATCCAGGTTAGTTATATAGTGGAATAATGATTTCAGGTATAGATTCCAGTGATTCATCCCCCATGTATAACATCCAGTGCTCATCCCAACAAGTGTCTTCCTTAGTGCCCCTTACCCATGTAGCCCACCCCCCACCCCAACCCCTCCAGCAACCCTCAGTTTGTTCTCTGTATTTAAGAGTCTCTTATGTTTTGTCCTTGTTTTTATATTATTTTTGCTTCCCTTCCCTTATGTTCATCGCTTTTGTATCTTAAATTCCACATGAGTGAAGTCACATGATATTTGTCTTTCTCTGATTTTGCTTACCATAACACCCTCTAGTTCCATCCACGTAGTTGCAAATGGCAAGATTGCATTCTTTTTGATTGCCGAGTAACACCCCATTGTATATATATATACCCCATCTTCTTTATCCATTCATCCACCGATGGACATTTGGGTTCTTTCCATACTTTGGCTATTGTGGATAGTGCTGCTATAAACATGGGGGTGCATGTGTCCCTTCGAAACAGCACACCTGTATCCCATGGATAAATGCCTAGTAGTGCAATTGCTGGGTCATAGGGAGTTCTATTTTTAGTTTTCTGAGGAACCTCCATACTGTTTTCCAGAGTGGCTGCACCAGCTTGCATTGCCACCAACAGTGCAAAAGAGATCCTCTTTCTCCGCATCCTTGCCAACATCTGTTGTCTCCTGTGTCGTTAATGTTAGCAATTCTGACAGGTGTGAGGTGGTATCTCATTGGGGTTTTGGTTTGTATTTCCCTGATGATGAGTGATGTTGAGCATCTTTTCATGTGTCTGTTAGCCACCTTCTAGTACCATTTTTAGTGGAAAATGGAAATACATTATAGACAATAAAGTAAAATCCTTTGTCTTCCTTATCTGTTACCCTTATGCCATTTCTCTGCTCATGAGTAACTGCAGATATATTCTTAAAATGGTTTGTTTTTAAAAACAAGATGCAAATATCCTAAGAAGTAATAATAAGCCCGATTCCCCAAAACGACTTCGGGTATGTATCTACAGCGTTCATATCCTCATCATGATTCACCACTGCAGAAGGACATGGTTTAGGTTAGCTCCCCCACACGGTAACCAGGAGAGCTACAGGCTTTGTCTCCTCAGGAGCCAACCATTTGCCAAACACCGTTATCCTCTCATTCACTTAAATATTGACATAACAGGGATGCGCTACGCTGGGCATGAAGGAGACTATGGTGAGCAAACAACAGGTCTTTGCCTTATAGAGCTTAGAATCTAACTACAAAGAGAAAAAAGAAATTTATCAAATTATATAAAATTGCAAATAGAAAAGTACTGCCAAACAGAATTACAGTTCCATGCGTCTATTTATACAGAACGGGAGGCTTGAACTAGTTTAAAGAGTCAAGTGTGAACCGAGAGCTAAAGGATGAGGTGAGCATCCTCAGGCCAAGTAGGGAGATTAGCCTTCCCTAGAATGAAAAGAACATGCAAAGGCTCTGCGACAGAAGGACAGTAAAAGAAGGCCAAAGTACAGGAGTAGAAAGTGCAAAGGGGGCCAGGGGAACAGCCAATGACCCAACCAGAAGTCAACAGGTGCACATTATTTTTCCACATCACAAGGGTTCAGCGTGCGCATGCGATCTAAATCGGTTCAGTCAGAAGGACTCTCACAAATTTTACGGCATCAACCAGAAAAGAGGCAGAGGGCAGTGCAGCCATGTTGCTGACCACGAGGGAAGACAAAAAGGAGGAATCCAGAAGCGAGAGATGGAAAGAAAAGGGGTCCCGGTGATATTGAGTATCACTATGATACGATGCATTGCTCTGGAAACAATATCGAACAAGCACCTTCCTCAAGAGAGTCTTTCTTTTTCAGTAGCCATTACTTTCCCCTTTTGCTTGAAACAAAAGCCCCCAAAACCAAGAGTACAGAGGGGAGCAGGGCACGAGACAAGGTGAGGTAGGAGGGAGTCCAGATAACATTCTGTTAGAGAATGACTGTTGGAGGATTCTGAGCAGCGCTTTCTTGCCTCCCAATAGTCCTTCTGCCTAATTTCAGAGTAAAGGCAGGCCCCCCCAGCCGCTCTTAATCTTACTATGATACGATGCATTGCTCTGGAGTACAATGTCAGACTCCCTCTCCCCCAACAAGGGAAATAGGGTCAACTCAAAAATTTATTTCTGTGAGAGGCTACACAACTTTTCAAACATTCTCTTAGGAGATGATACAAGCAAAAGAACTCTGAATACTACTAAGTGAGAAATCCGAGGCAGTAGGATTCCTCGATTTCTGACTTTCGCAAACTGCACTGATGGTGTCCACATACAAAACACTGGAAGTGTAGACCTGTAAGGGGTCGATCATGAGTCCCGTTTCGGACAGGTTGGGTCTGAGATGCCTCTGAGACCTCTAGAAGGACATGGCAGGTAAACATCAGCGGAGAACTTATTCTGGCGCTCAAGAGAGATAAAAACCTGTGCGGGAGCTGAAGCCATGGGTGTGAAGAAGTGACTCAGTAAGAAAGTGGAAAGGAGAGGGCCCACCCCTGACCCCTAAGAAATCCCCATATTCAACAGCCAGGTAGAGAATGGAATGCGCGTAAAGGAGACAGAGATGAAGTGGACAAAAAGGTAGGAGTGTAAAAACAAAACAAACCGAGTCAAAAGAAAGAAGAACAATGTGTCACAAACAGCTTTAAGAAAAGCGGATGTAGTCGAACGCTGCTCAAGGTAATGACTCAACTTTAGCCTCAGTGAAAAATCACTTGAAACTCTAATCGCACCAAGCAAATAACAGCTTGGTAATAATAAGCCCAGTGTTTTACTTACACAGTAATTTAAGGGGAAAAAGAACTTTGAGAAAGAGACCAAAATAACTCTATGAACAGGTGTATGAGCACCAATCACAGGAAGTGCTTCTTCACTGGCATCCTTACCTGAACAGAAGGGACATCGGTGAAAGCTTTTATAAAATCATCTTCATCCACTGCTCCAGCACCCCCTTCCTTAGAAGCACCTGCTAATTAAAAGGAGATGGATTTATTTCTTTAGTTTATTTATTTTTTGAGAGAGAGAGCGAGCGAGCGCGTGCAAGTACAAGTGAGCAGGGGAGGGGCAGAGAGAGAGGGAGGGAGAGAATCCCAAGCAGGCTCCGTGCTGTCAGCTCAGGGCCTGACGCAGGGCTCAAACTCACGGTCCATGAGATCATGGACCTGAGCCAAAATCCAAAGTCGGACACTCAACTGACTCAGCCACCTAGGAGCACCTAAAGTTTATTTTTATGCATTCTGGCACCAAGGAAAATATGGAAAATATAGCTCTTTTGATATCAAAAAGGCATAATTTTGAGAGAAGTTCCATTTTATAAGACAGCATTGAAATAAAATCAACATCTTTCAGAAAAGTCAAGGTACCTAGCAGTAGTTGACTAATTCTTTATAAAGTAAGAGGGCAGGGGCGCCTGGGTGGCTCAGTCGGTTAAGCATCTGACTTCAGCTCAGGTCATGATCTCGAGGCCTGTGAGTTCGAGCCCCGCATCGGGCTCTGGGCTGACAGCTCAGAGCCTGGAGCCTATTTCAGACGCTGTGTCTCCCTCTCTCTCTCTGACCCTCCCCTGTTCATGCTCTGTCTCTCTCTGTCTCAAAAATAAACGTTAAAGAACAATTTAAAAAAAATTAAATTAAATTAAATTAAAAAAATAAAGTAAGAGGACAGGCTAGCCATAAAATGCAAATTATAAGAACAGAGCCCTCCCATCCTTATTCAATGCAACAGCAAGTACACAAGAAATACAGGTGAAAAGACAATCATTTAAAAAGGTAAACAGCAATTTTAATGACACCAAATATCAATAAATGATGGCAAATAAATGAGGCAGAGGGTCCATGTACGCAGCAGAGCCTAGGAAATCAAATGTGAAGGAAACGAGGTTCTTGAAATTAAATTTCAACAGGCAAACAGATCTCCCCTGACTGCACACAGACAACAAAAAAGTGAACTTAATAGGTAGTAGCCGTTTAAGAGCCAGTGACTGAACCACCGTCTTCCAGCTCCGGCTGTACTCCTTCACATTCCCGGATGCTGGGCCTAGGATCGGGCAAACCACCTTTCTGCCAATTCTAATGGTTTCCTGTCAAACTCTGCCAACAGGGGGACCAGGGAGAATGGAAGGAGAACCAGTAGCGGCACCGGAGAGACTGGAAAGTGGAAGAAGGGAGCTGCTCCTTCTGGCTTCCTGCTTGTCTCAGTAAAACCCTAACAGCTCCGACAGGACGCTCGTTCAGTAGCAGCTCTTGGCTCCCGTCAGCAGTTGTTCTAACCCTCACCAGGCCCACGGCGCCCGCCCGTCGCAGAGCAGCTCCTCACAGAGGTGGGAGCGGCAGCTCTGCAGGGCCCCACCTCCACGTTTTAATAATCGTCACCCTGTTTTCCCTGCTTAGGAACAGGAGCTCTTGACTGTAATTACTACCTCCCTGATGCTTTAGTGTCCTGTTTTTTCATTTCTAATTCACCAGGTCCATTTAACAATTCTTTATATTAAATTCTCTCTGTAAAAATACCTGTTGTGGGTTTCGTCTCTGGACTGAACCCTGATCGATGGAGGCAGGACTCAGTTTCTAACTCTATATATTTATTTCTTCATGGTGATAATTCGACACATTCAAATCGATTTCAACCACACCAAATGTATATCCTAAGAGACAATTAACTTAAAAAATCTATCCAATTAAAAAATTAAATAATATCTCCCAAATTAAGTTTATCATCTACCGAGAGAAATATTAATACTTCAAAACTGGATTTAAAAATTAACATTGTCCTTGGGGTGCCGGGGTGGCTCAGTCGGTTGAGCCTGACTTCGGCTCAGGTCATAATCTCGTGGTTCGCGGGTTCCAGCCCCATGTCGTGCTCTGTGCTGACAGCTCAGAGCCTGGAGCCCACTTTCGATTCTGTGTCTCCCTCTCTCTGCCCTCCCCTGCTCACGCTCTGTTTCTCTCTCTCTCCCTCTCTCTCTCTCTCTCAAAAATAAACATACATTAAAAAAATTTTATAAAAAATTAACATTGTCCTAATAAAAAAAAAACCACTCAGGATTTCCCAGGGCAGGTAAGAGGCTCCTCATCTTTAACAAAACAAACAAACCCTTTGAAGCTCCATCTTGTTGTGTGTGAGTTTTAAGGGGACTAAGAGGTGGACCACAGGACAGCGTAACAAAGCTGCAAGGTAATATAAAACTGCAAACTGGAAGCAATGACAATTTAATAAATTAAGAGAGGCATGAATGCATACTTGCTATAGAAAATTCAGCTAAAAGAGTAAATAAATTAGTTATTCCCTAGATATTATAAAAAAATCAAGTAACAATAAAACTCTCAACCCTGTGCCCATGATCAGTCCTAGCAACTAACAGATTAACTGAAAAGCAGTTGAAGCAAAGAAACAAAAAATAAGATACCTAATCATACTATCTTAACATCTCATAACGTTTACCAAATCAATCTCTTCATATGGGCTTCAATTTTTTTAAGTTTTTTTTTTTTTTTAAGTCATCTCTATACCCAGTGTGGGGTTTGAACCCACGACCCCACAATCAAGAGTCACTCTCTCTCTTCCAGCTGAGGCAGCCGGGCGCCCCTGAGTTTCATTGTGTTTAACAATGGGTCCCTGAGAGGAAAGCAGAAGCCTGGATTTTTATTATTTCTTCCCAATCTTTCACAGTTGTCTTGCCCAGCCTAGCCCACTGAAACAAATTTCTTTAGGGACTTGTCCTTATCAAGTAGTTCCTAAATATTCAACACAGTTTTTATAAAAACAGTTTCTTTCCTCTTTCATTCAATATGAGTTGTTCACTTATATGCCACTTCCCGCAAAATACTGTGTTATAGTAACAAGAGGAAGCATTAGGCAAGTTTGAGAACAGTACTTGACTCCTGGAAAGTATACCTCTCAACTGGCAGAGGAGGCCTGTGCAGACGTCTCAGAGCAGAGCCAGTTGACAACTGTGGTGTGCTCAAGTGTGGAAGACAGAAAGAATCCTACAGAGGACTGGAAGACGGAGGGGGAGAGCAGTATGAAGACCGCCTACAGCGTGCACGCAGTTTACGAAAGGTATCGTATGTAGAATAGAATGTAAACTCCAACACATCAACCCACCAGCTACAACACAGTATTAAAAACCTTCAAGGGAATGCAGAGCATCTGAACAAATCCCAAATGAGCCCAGAAAAACATGCCAGGGACTGAGGACGTACATAGGAAAAGTCTAACTTTAAACAAGTCACGATTCATTCAGATCGTAACGCCTTTTATTATGCAGTGAGTTATATCTTAGGAGTAGGGCCAAATAACCTAGTGGGGAGGGTGGGCGGAGTCGAAATTAAATGGCTTTGAAAGTCCCACGGAAGCTGCAGACGCATAAGGCTACAGGTATCACCGAATGTGGCCTGATGACCAGCTGAGATGTGACAATTAGGTCTCTAAACCTGGACACGGGCAGTACAGAATTTCTCAAGCATGCGCACGGTTCTGAACAGCTGACCCCAGCCTATCTCACTCTTACCTTTGAAACTCACTTTGTATAAGCAGAGCTACTGCCACTGGGAGCGGACTGGGTCCGTGAATAGTGTCAGGACAGAGGACGTGCGGATCTTGTCCTTGCTTATCTCTTGTATATATTATAAGTAAACCTTTTTACAATCCTAGTCCGCCTAATGCTTCCCTTCCCCTTGGTTTTGACTGGGTGGCCAACAAAACAGAAAAGGATCTCTGCATAGGGGAAAACTCTGTGGAACAAACTGTTTCACCTCACAATCACTATTCCATTTTCTGATGCAGCTTTAAAGTTCACCTAAACAAATGCTATCAGACATTTTTAGCACCAGCAAGGAGAACGAATACCATAGGCAGAGAGTCAGAACGGGTGATGGGTTCTAACGTCAAATACTACTGCAAGGGAAGGACAGCGAGTCTCTACAGCAAGAGGAGGTAAAGTGAGTCTGCAGGCAGGAGCACGACAGGGGCTGGAGGGCAATGCTGGCCTCCAAGCTGACTGAGCTCTTTCAGATGTAACTGGGTCAACAATCACACCGGAACATACTGATAGGCCAAAACAACAGAACGGCTCTGCTCAGATGTCTACCCATGCTAAAAGAGAGGTCACTACATTTTTTCTGTAATGGGCCAGACAGTAAGTATCTTAGACTTTGTGAACCATATGGTTTCTGTTGCAATTACTCAACTCTGCCACTGTAGGAGAGCAGCCACAGACAATATGTAAAATGAATGCGTGGGGCCGTCTTCCAATAAAGCTCTATTTATGGACACTACAATTCAAATTTCATATAGTTTTCACTTGTCACACAATCTTATTCTTCTTTTGAATATTTTTAATCATTTAAAATGTAAAAAAAAAAAAAAAAAAAAAAAAAAAAAAAAAAAAGGCATTCCTAGCTCAGGCGTAAAACAGAAACCAGTCGGCTGGACATGCGTGGCCTGTGGGCTACAGTTTGCTGATCCCTGCTCTAGAACTCACCGTAAACTAGGTGATGCCCCTACTTGGATGGGGGCAAAGAGGGGGGATCAGAGGGTTCTGACATTCAGGGGGTAGCATGTTTCTAGTAAGCCAGAATGACTAGGGTAGGCACTCTCAGAAATTCCCAAATAGTACTTAAAGGTTGAAGTACAAAGAGAAAACTCATTCTATTTAGTCCTCAACTACCAATAAGATGAAGTGCTGAGTGCTGGATACAAAGGTGAGTGAGCCAAAGGGTAAAGCAGTGTGTTTCAGAGACAGGAGCAAGGGGAACAAGTCTCAGAAGTGGGAAAGGGCAGGTTCTTCCCATGTTACAACCAAGAGACCAGCCCTTAGAGAAAGATGAATAATAAAGAAACAGCATGGGGGGGTAAATAGGGCTTAAACCCCAATAAAATTCATAGAAGACCAGAATTTTAATTTTTTAAATTTATTTTAAAGGTTGATTTATTTGAGAGAGAAAGAGAGACACAGCACAGGCTGGGCCC